GGTTATATAGGTCCCCTCAGACAATGGCTGGTGCTTCTTCTCACTTCTCCCTTGTGAGAAGGGGTCTTGCTGGCCCTTTTCCTGGCAATAAACCTTTCTTTGTTCTCTATACCTGAATGTCTGCATGGTTTTCTGGCAAAGTCCAAATAATCTAACAATAGGAATGAGCCTCCAGTTCCTGGCTAGAATTATACTTTTTTTTGTCCCAGGTACTGGGACTTGAACTCAGAGCCTAGGCTCTGCTCCTGAGCTTCTTTTGCTCAAGGCTAGCGCTCTACCATTTGAGCCACACTGCCTTTTCTGACTTTTCTGAGTACCTATTGGAGATAAGAGTCTCATAGACTTTCTTGCCAAGGCTAGCTTTGAACTGTGGTCCTCAAATCTCAGCCTCCTGAGTAGCTAGGATTACAGGCACGAGCCTGTAACATCTTTGCTTAATTGGCTACTAAAATACTATATCTTCCAGCGTGTGAAATATTCTAATAACTGCAGTCTTACTTGATAATATAAATGAATTCTATAGTGGACTTTAGATTTTATAAATTAAATTATGTTTAGTAATGGGTGATTTCAAAAGAAGCCTATCAGGTTCTCTTTCACATTAATTTTAGTTCATGAACAGAGTGATATACTTAAAACAGAATAAAGTTATATGGATTTCTTGTAATGTTTCACACTTCATAAGGTTTTGTTGTATTGACATTTCAGGATGTATCTGGCCTTAAGAACTGAACAAAGTAGTAAATTTCAAAACCCTACAAGTAGGCCCTGATTATGGGAGAATACCACAAATGGGTTAATGTTTAACGGTGGCTGTCCTGTCCTGCTGATTCACTTAGGTGGCTGGGAGATGACAATTTTATTCTTCTTTACTTGACTGACTGGCTTTATTGCACAATTAATTAAGACCTGCTTAAAAACAGCCTTCAGAACAGAGCCAGAGAAGAGAAAGCCTTTCAGATGATGGAAATGTAATGGTGAATTTATATTGTCAAGACTGCAGTAACTACCTTCACCCAGGTTAGATTAATGAGTATCAGAGTACTGCTTTCTAAGGAGAGCACTACTACAAAGAGACAACTGTGGTTTTTGAATGTCTAGCTGTTATTAAAGAACAGACTTTGTATGGTAAGTTCACATACAATTCAGTTTTTTCTTCCCTCACTCTCCCTTAATGCCTCTTTCCTTCAATTTCTCCCTCCCCTCCCCTTCTCTCCCCTCTCCTCTTTTTTCCCTTCCATCCCTTCCCCTCCTCTTTCTTCTCCCTTCCTCTTCCCTTCCTCTCTGCTAGTAGGGTCTTGAATGAAAGGCTTTGTATATGCTAGACAAACATTCTTAGCATCAAACTATATCCCTAGCCTCACATTTTTTACTTAGTTAACAAGGTGCTGGGGATTGAACCCAGGGCTTCTCACATACCAAGCATTCCTTGTATATCTGAGCTAACCCCCAACCCCCAAATCATTTGATGAATCAAATTCTTGCAATGTTTGTCAGGCTGGTCCAGAACTTCTGGGCTCAAGTGATCTCTGTCTCAGCTTCCCAAGTAGCTGGGACTTAGAGGTGCATGCTATAATGCCTGGATTCATCTTTTTCTTTAATGCTAATATGTACATAGAAAATGAAAAATAAAATATATGTGACCACTTTAATAATTATTAGATGATCACTCAGGTGACCAAAACCCAGATGAAGAAAAATGACCAGTGTTCCAGAAGTCCTACCCTTACCATGTGCACTTACCAGACAGTAAGAAACCTTTTCTGAGTAGCTCCTGTCTTTATTTTTGTCATTTTCTTCCGTTAGAATGTAAATATTTGTATCCTAAAATGATATCATTTGTATCTGCCTGTATTTGAACCAAGAGGCATAGAATCCTAACATTGTCTCCTCTTTGTGTCTGGCATCTTTCACTTGGTTTTTTGTTTGTGAGATTTTACCCATGATTGTTTTTATTCAGTGCATTTACAGAAAAACAAAAACAAAAACAAAGCACCTTTTCTGTGGGTGCCAGGGGCTCACATCTGTAATCCTAGCTACTCAGGAGGCTGAGATATGAGGATCAGGGTTCGAAGCCATCCTGGGCAGGAAAGTCCATGAGTCTCTTACCTCCAATTAACCACAAAAAGCCAGAAGTGGTGCTGTGGCTCACTGGATAAGAGTCTTGAACACAAAAGCTCAGACACACCAGTGCCCCATTCTAAAGGTTAAGCCCAGGCCGCCTAGCAAAATAATAAATAAACCCAAAATATTATTTACAATTTCTGTAACTTTAAACATTTTTGGGCATTTCCCTTTTGCCTTCTGGGACTCTCTAGTAAATGGAGTGTGAAGAGTAAAACTTGTCTGGATCTTTTTTTCTTTTCTCTTTTCTTTCTTTTTCTTTTTTTCTTGTTTCTTTTCTTTTTGTTTTTTTGAGCTGATCCAAATGCCCCCTTCCCACTGCTTTGATGGTGTTTGTTTCGTTGAGTCTACATCTTTAAGGCTTCTGTGGCTTGGTTAAAAATCTTCCTTTCTCCAAGGCTGGTCCAAGGGTCTGGTCACGTGATCCCCAACAGTGACATCACACCCTGACCGCCCGCCCAGGAGCACTGGTGGCTCTTTAGGTGGCGTTTGTTGCAGTGCAAAGGCAGAAAATGCAGCAAGTGCCTTTCTAAAGTGCCCCAGTTGCGGGGATTCCTTCTGTAAAAGCGCCTCAACTTAAATGACCAAATGCGAGCTGCCAAGGTTATTTCTTCCTTGAGGCAGAAAGAAAACTGTGATTGAAGGTAAGCAGACTTGAGCCCGACCCAGGACTGAAGCATGCCCCCGGGAGCAAGGGATCTGGAAAATCACAAGCGGTGTGTGGTAGGATTCTAATCACTGCCTGCCTTTTGGAGGAGACTGACAATTCCGTCTCTAACAGGAGACCCACGACAAAGGAGGATGATGCAGTGCTCATGTTACCTAGTGATGTAATAGGATTCTTTCTTTCCTGTCGGACGCTGGGGCAGATCTTCCTTTGCCTTTAAGCTGGGGGGGGGGGGGGGCCTCATTTCATATAATAGTGTAACGTTAGATAACTATCTGATGCTTTTAAAAATTAGTTTCACAGAATGATGTGTTTTTTCCTTTGGAAAGGAGCACTCTTAAACCAGAGCAGATTCAATGTGGAAGCATTAATGTGCTTTAAAGTGTCAATGTTTGGTTGTTTGGTGTCCAGTGTTTCTTATCAGCATTTGACTTGAGAACTGAAGCAGCTTGGTCTCCTCTGCTTCCCCCTGACCCCCATATTTTATTCTCTTTCTGCCCCTATTTCCTAGCTGGCTTTTCCCCTCCAAGCTCTCAAGCAGCACAACAGCTTTTATCGTTATCAGTATGACACTGACATGCTAGGAAATGCTGGGCTGGTGATTCAGCAGACATCCATTTTACAGCCAGGTACAAAGTGGAGATATGGAAAGGACTTTGGTTTGGGGTTTTAAGATTAACTTATTTGCCTCCTCCCTGCCGCCTTCCTGACCCACTCCTATTCTCCAGATGGTTTAGACTCTGCTGAGATTTTCCTTTCAAATGTGTACATTGCTTGGGCAAAGTATGCTGAATCAGGCATTAGAAGACTGTCAAATTGATAAGCCACAGACAGCTTGGTGTATTCATTCAAACTTATCCTGTGAGAATGCTGAAGTTGTCTGGTAGGAGTTTATAGTTAAGGCAGGCATGCCGATGGGTCTCAGCTGAGACCCACTTGGGCCTTCTTTGCAGAAGGATTCATTACCAAACAGGAGGAAGCCTTGTCCCTGGCCAAGGGTGATGCTGCAAATGTGAGCTTTGGCTGGGTGAATGAAATGATGGCATTACCGTCATCCTCCCCTTCCTCCCACCCTCCTCCCCTGGGCATCTGAATGGATTCCTCAAGACTATTTTAAATTGTATGTTTAATAGCAAAATACGGTGCCATCTGATGTTGTTGCTGCAATATTAACTTTGTGAACCAATGCTTTTACTATGTGTGAGTATAAATGCTTACTTTATATAGTTCTGCCTCATCCTTGCCATCCATCAAACACAGTTTGGTTTAACTGAGATGTCTTGACTCTCAAGGTATATGTTAATACATTGGAGAAGACAATGGGGGATCACATATAGGGCTACTAGCAAAAAGCTTCTAGTCTAGAAAGGAAGATGATGGAGCTGGGCATGTTCTCAGTGGTAAAAGCACTTGGCCTAACATGTGCAAGGCCCTGGATTCTATCCCTAGCATAACAAGACAGAGTGAGAGAGGATGGATGGAAGAAAGAAAGGAAAGAAGGAAGAGAGGAAGGAAAAGAATGCACTTAAATAATTGTAATGGAAGTACTGAAAGCCAAGCAGATAAAGGACCATGATGGATGGATAAATGGTTATGTTTTTTCTAGTTGAAAGATCAAGGAGGGACAGTTCAGTAGTGAACTAAGCACCGTCCCTCTAAATCTCTGGTTATAAACCAGAAACAGTTTCTACCAGCCTATTATATCAGGGATAAAAGTGTTCTACCTATTGAAGGAAAATGTATATATTCTGTCCAGCTTAACACTTGAAGAAGCTAACTTCCTTTCTTCAGAGTTCCCAGTCAGCCCCAACATACCTCCTAAGATTGAATTACTGCCTTACAAGTAATAGATCGGCAAAGAACTTTGACCTCTTTGTCTGTCTTCTGCAATCTGGAATACCAAGTTCCTTCCTGTCTTTGTTCTATAAGTTATTTCTCATTGCCCACCAGCTCTTGTCACTTCTCACTTTGTATTGTCACTCCCATCTTTCCCTTTTCATTCACACTGTCTTTACCTACATATGGTCTGAGCCTAGACCACAGAAACTTCTGAATATGATGGAACTCCCCACTGGGTTATTAAGTTGTTTTATTAGTGCACCTCTACTGTAATCATTTGAGAGCTTAAGATGGAGCCCAGAAAGGAGGTATTAAAAAATGTAAAGAATGTCTGAAGTACTAACTTGCATCTGTTATCTGTTCAATACAGGGGACAAATCATACAATGGTGGAGGAATAGGTTCTTCAAATAGGATCATGGATTTTTTGGAGGAGCCAATCCCTGGTGTAGGAACCTATGATGATTTCAACACAATTGATTGGGTGAGAGAGAAGTCTCGAGACCGTGATAGGCACCGAGAGGTAAGACAAAAGATGGTACAGAGTATAAGGAAACACCAGAGGAAGAAATTAAAGATACACATTCTTGTTTCTATTGTCAATAGAGGGTCTCATTTCTTAAATTATTTTTATTTTTAAAGGTTTCTTGAGGGCATCAAGGTAGCTCAGTGGTAGAGTGCTTGCCTTGCATGCATGAGGCCCTGGGGGTTCCATTCCTCAGCATCACATAAGCAGAAAAAGCTGGAAGTGGTGCTGTGGCTCCACAGTGGTAGAGTGCTAGCCTTGAGCTGACGAGCTGGGGGACAGTGCCCAGGCCCAGAGTTCAAACCCTATGACCAACAACAAAAAAAAAAGGTATTTTGTATATACCTGGGTGCTGATGGCTTAAGCCAGTAACCCTAGCTAGTCAGGAGTGTGAGAGCTGAAGATCACAATTTGGAGCCTTCTCAGGCAGACATATCTGAGACTTATTGTCAATTAGCCACCAAAAAGCTGGAAGTAGAGATGTAGCTCAAGTGGCAGATTACCAGCCTTGATCCAAAAAGCTAAGCAAGAATGTGAGACCAGGTGCTGGTGGCTCACACCTGTGATCCTAGCTACTCAGGAGGCTGAGATCTGAGGATGGCGGTTCAAAGCCAACCCCAGCAAGAAAAGTCCGTGAGACTCTTATTTCCAATTAAGCACCAAAAAACCAGAAGCGGTGCTGTGGCTCAAGTGGTAGAGTACTAGCTTTGAGCTGAAGAGCTCAGAAAGAGCACCCAAGCCTAGAGTTCAAGCCCATAACTGACCAAAAAACAAAGAATGTGAGGCCCTGCATTCAAGCTCCAGTTCTGGCACATGTGTACACATATACACACCAAGATATATATAATTTTTAACATTTAGTTATTATGAATTTTATTTACGATAATATAGTACTTTTTAAAAATACCATGAAATAGTATAAATATCAATTGATACAGTAAGTAGAAAATAAATATTGCTAACATAAAATAAGTACCTATTACATTATCAAATTATTTCCTTCATTTAAAATTGTTTTCATTATAGTAGAGGTGATGTACAGACAGGTTACAGTTATATAAATCAGGTAAAGGGTACATTTCTTTATTTTTTACTTAAAATTTTTAAAATTATTATTATAAAAGTGATGTACAGAGGGATTACAGTTACTTAAATCAGGTAGAGCACATTTCATTTTGGACAATGAAGAATATATTTCTTTTTTGACAATATCATCAGTTCCCTCACTGTCTCCCAGTTATTCCCTCCCATTCCCATCCCATTCCCACCTACAAGTTGGATAGTTCATTTTCAACATTGTATATAATTTTTTTTATTTATTTACTTTTTTTATTGTGAGAATACCGTACAGAGGAGTTACAATTACATGGGCAAGATAACTAGTACATTTCTTGTTGTTTTTTTTTTTTGGGGGGGGGGGCGGTGGGTCCGGTTGTGGGCCTGAACTCTGGGCCTGGGCGCTGTCCCTCAGCTCTTCAGCTCAAGGCTAGCGCTCTACCACTTGAGCCACAGCACCACTTCCAGCTTTTTTTCTGCTTATGTGGTGCTGAGGAATCGAACCCAGGCATGCAAGGCAAGCGCTCTACCACTGAGCCACCTTCCCAGCCCAACGAGTACATTTCTTATCAAGCATTGTTGCTTCCTCTTTGTTTCCCCTTCCTATCCCTTCCCATATTCCCTCCTCTTCCCACCCAATCCTTCCCCCACTCCCCACCAAAGTTGTAAAGTTCGTTTTTTGACATAACGTCTTGTACATCTCATTGTTGCAATGGGTCCACCGGTATCCCTAGTTAAATGATTTGTTTTTCCCTTCCCCTCCACAAATTATACCAACATCAAATACAGTGAAAGCATGGGTTATACCGTGGGGGAGGGACATACAAAGCAACAAAGAACTCATCTTATAAATATGTTAGAAACAATTGCATGAAAGGAAAAAAAAACAAAAAAATTGAATATTTATCTTGGGGTTCATTCCCCTAACATCAACTTATCTGATCTTTTCTGCTTGACTCAGACATATACTAGTTATTGCAAATAAGGGAAACCATGGGACTTATGTTTCTTTGGGCCTGCCTTACTTCACGTAATATAATTTGTTCCAAGTCTTTCCATTTCCTAACAAATGGGGCAATGTCATTCTTTCTGATGGAGGCATAGAATTCCATTGTGTATATATACCACATTTTCTTGATCTATTCATCTACTGAGGGGCATCTGGGTTGGTTCCATATCTTAGCTGTGGTAAATAATGCTGCAATAAACATAGTCATGCTGGTAGCTTTAGTGTGGTCTTGTTTGTGAACATTTGGGTAAATGCCCAAAAGTGGGATTGCTGGGTCATAGGGGAGCTCTATGTGGAGTCTTTTGAGGAACCTCCATACTGCTTTCCAAAGTGGTTGAACAAGTTTACACTCCCACCAACAATGCAGTAAAGTTCCCTTCTGTCCACATCCCCTCCAGCATCTGTTGTTATTAGAGTTCTTGATTATAGCCATTCTAACTGGGGTGAGGTGGTATCTCAATGTTTTGATTTGCATTTCTTTTATGGCTAGAGATGTTGAGCATTTCTTCATGTGTCTATTGGCCATCCTTCTCTTCAGAGAAGTTTCTCTTTAAGTGTATATAACTTTTATCCTAAATTGTTTTATGCCAGTCCTGGGGCTTGAACTCTGGGACCTGGGCACTGTCCCTGAGCTTTTTTTTTTTTTTTTTTGCTTAAGGCTAATGTTCTACCATTTTGAGCTACAGCGCCACTTCTGGTTTTCTGATGGTTAACTGGAGATAAGAGTTGCACAGACTTTCCTGCCCAGGTTGCCTTCAAACCATAATCCTCAGATCTCAACCTCCTGAGTAGCTAGGATTACCCTAGATTTTCTTTTTTGGTCATGGGGCTTGAGTTCAGGGCTTGGGCATTATCCCTGCGCTCTTCAACTCAAGGCAAGCACTCTACTGTTTGAGCCACTGTGCCACTTCTGGTTTTCTAGTGATTTATTGGAGATAAGAGTCTCATGGACTTTCCTGCCCTGGCTGGCTCTGAACTGTGATCCTCAGATCTCAACCTCCTGAGTAGCTAGGATTACAGGCGTGAGCCACCAGCACCCAGCATTATCCTAGATTTTTAAAAATGTGTTTAATAATGAAGTATCTCCCATGATAAATAGTTGAAAAAGATCTTTAGCGATACCTCTGTGGGGGTGGATAAAAACTTGGGGAGTAAGGTAGCAAAATAAACACTGAAGATCTTCCTCCTTCTCATCTACCATTTGTGGTATTTTTCTTATGAAGCTAAAAATTAAAACTAAGGAATGTAAATGCGCTTTCTTAAAGGAATAAAAGAAAAATCTTCTAGCCCTGGAGTTTATTGACTCATACTGGATAAACTCCTTATGATTATTGCTCTTGTACACTATAAAACCTAAGTAAATTTATGTATTCATGTCCAATAAAAACCACAAGACCAATCAAATTCAGATTAAGAACCTCAATTTAATGTGATGGGTCATAGACAGTGCTTAGGGTAATGATGACACAGGTTCTTTTCATTTGGCAAGAGAATTCCCCAGCTTCTCTCTTTTCAAAGTGCTGAGAAAATTTCTCCAAGCAGTCTGCAAAGAATCTCTCTCCCTTCCCCTCCCCTCTCCTCCCCTCCCTTCCCCTCCCCTCCCCTCTCCTCCCCTCCCTTCCCCTCCCCTCCCCTCCCCTCCTCTCCCATCCCCTCCTCTCCTCTCCCCTCCCCTCTCTTCCCCTCCCCTCACCTCCCCACCTCTCCCCTCCCCTCCTCTCCCCTCCCTCCTCTCCCCTCCCCTCCCCTCCTCTCCCCTCCCCTCCCCTCCTCTCCCCTCCCCTCCCCTCCCCTCTCCTCCTTTCCTCTCCTCTCCCCTTGCTAATGTTTTCTCAGACTGACCTTGAACTCAATCCTCCTGCTTCAGCCTTCCCAGTGCTGAGTGTACAGGCATGCACTCCCATACCTTTGCTTCTAACATGTGTGCACCGCTTCAAGTCCTGAAATCTGTCCTTGAGCTTTTGTGCTCAAAGTTAGCCTTTGCTTTTAACTTGTTACTGTGTATCATGTTAATTAGGGAATCATTTTTTTCTAGTTTGTGGGAGTGCTACAATGGAAAGCTTACTGAAAAAAACCTCTGTTGCCCACCTGGGAGATTCTCAGTAGATGATTAATCCCTGAGAAGAAGGTGATCACCTGAAATCACTTAGGGCCACAATAGTAGGGTTTTGTTTTCTTCCTTACTATTTCTGCTTGGACTCCAAATTTGAAATTGTTAGGCTGACCCCATTCTCTGTCTTTGTTTGTTTGTTTAGATTCCTCTTTTTTATTGTAAAGGTGATGTACAGAGGGGTTACAGCTACATAAGTCAGATCATGAGTACATTTCTTTTTGAACATTTTCTCCCAGTTCCCCTCCCCCCAAGTTGTATAGTTCATTTCTAACATAGTATCTAGTGAGTTTTACTGCTGAATTGGGTCACCTTTGAGTTACATATTTCCTCCTCTCAGAGCCAAGCATATCTTCCAGAGTCAAGAGGTGACTTTTCGGGCTGGGAAGGTGGCTCAGTGGTAGAGCGCTTGCCTTGCATGCCTGAGGCCCTGGGTTCGATTCCTCAGCACCACATAAGCAAAAAGAAAAAAGCCGGAAGTGGCACTGTGGCTCAAGTGGTAGGGCACTAGCCTTGAGCTGAAGAGCTGAGGGACAGCGCTCAGGCCCAGAGTTCAGGCCCCACGACTGGACCAAAAAACAAAACAATAGGTTACTTTTCTATCTCTTTCTCTGTCTCTCTCTTCTGTGTAGGTTTGTTTCATGTTCTGTCTCCTCTTTCTCTCTGTCTAGATCTGTTTCTTTTTCTTTCTCTCTGTCTCTCTATGTGTCTCCCTCTATCTCTGTTTAGGTCTGATTATCTCTGTCTATCTCTCTCTGTTTCCCTCTCTTCTCTGTCTAGGTATGTTTCTCCTCCTCCTTCTCTCACTCTGTCTCTGTCTCTGTCTCTCTCTGTGTAGATCTGAATCTCTCTCTCTCTCTCTCTCTCTCTCTCTCACACACACACACACACACACACACAAACACACACACACACACACACACACACTTTCTGTCTCTTGGTGCTGAAGATCAAACCTGGATCCACCACACACTAGGTAAGTATTCACCACTGAGTCGCACCCCTCAGCCCTGATTTTTCATTTTTAAGCCTTTCCCACCTCCTGATGAGTTTCCTCACAATCTCCTGAGCCATGAAGTCAGGTTGTCCCAGGTACAGGCTTTGAGAAATTCCTTCTTAATCTCTAGAAATGTGGTAAATCCAGAGTTAACTTATCATAATATAGGAGGGGTAATGTCTATATTTTTCATATGATGTCTGGAGCATACCCATATACTCTTACCAATTAATTATGTAGGCATTAGAATTGGGATTCTTGCTGGTTCTGGCATTTCTATTTTCGGGGCTGAGTTTATCATTAGTTGCATATTCAACAGGTTATTCAAATTGTGAATCCCCTGTGATATGGGCAAGGATATATTTTTCATATTACTGGTTACATCTCAGTAAAATGGTACCAGTTAATAACTTGAAGCCAATTAAAATGTCCATGCAGACGTTACTTAGTGTAAACTTTTTTCTGAGGGTGGGTACTGAGGTTTGAACTTAGCACCTCACATTTACTAGACGGTCGCTCTACCACTTAAGCTATAGCCTGCCTGCTACTTTTTTCCCAGAGCTGGCCTTTCCCTCCATCCTCCTGCCTCCACCTTTGAAGAGCTGGAATTACAGGCATGTACCATCATGCCCAGGTTGTTTTTGAGTCCAAGCTGGCCTCAAATTGCAAGCCTCTTATATCTGATTTTCATGTAGCTAGGATTACAGGTATGAGCCACCATGCCCGGTACACTAACTGTGAGAAAATCAGGAAAGAATATCACAGGGGAAAATGTAACTTTGTCTTTTTTTTTTTTTTTTTTTTGGTCATGGGGCCCGAACTCTGGGCCTGGGCACTGTCTCTGAGCTCTTCAGCTCAAGGCTAGTGCTGTACCACTTGAGCCACAGTGCCACTTCTGGCTTTTTCTGGTTATGTGGTGTTGCGGAAGTGAACCCAGGACCTCATGCATGCAAGGCAAGCACTCTACCACTGAGCCACCTTCCCAGCCCCACTTTGTCTTTTTTGACCAATGAAATTAGAAATTTTTAAAACTTTGAGGTTTATAATTTGTTGACATTTGTGATATTGTAGATGAAAGTGTGGCTTTATCTACACTATCTTAAATATCTTAAATACTTGGCTAATCCAAGTAATAAGTAATGGTACAAATAAGGAGGAAGTACCTGTAACAAAACTGTCAGACTACTGTTTGTTAAAATGTGCAAACTGGCCAGTTGCTGGTGGCTTATGCCTGTAATCCTGGCTTTTCAGGAGGCTGAGATCTGAAGATTATGATTTTAAGTTAGGCCAGGCAGGAAAATCTGTGAGAGTTACCTCTAATTAATCACCAAAAGAAGCCAGAAGTGGAGCTATGGCTCAAGTGGTAGAGCACTAGACTTGAGCAAAAGAAGCTCAGGACATTGTCAAGGGCCTAAGTTCAAGCCCCAGGACAGGCACTAAAAGAAATGTAGACACTGAAGGGTTAAATTGACAGGGCTAGGATCTAAGTGGTTAAACAGTGTACTTTCTGATACCCTACAGATATCTGAAAATGAAAGGGATACATCACAAATATCATTTATTATCTGTGACCAATGTACAATTAGGGGGTTTGTGGGATCAAGTCTAGAATTTGCATGACCTAGACCACAGATCCAAGATAATAAACCTGGACTTCCACTTTCATCACTCAGATAAATCCAGGTTTGTTTATTCTTTACAAAGTAATCAAACTATTTGCTGTGAATCAACTGTTACTGTGACTGGGGACAAATAACAAAACAGGTTGAGACTACAGAAAATTAGTGACTAAATGAAGATGTTCTAAGTAAGGTATTTTTTGGGTATTGCAGCAGTGTAGATGAACTGGCAGAGTTCAGGAGACCTTAAATTTCATGATAAAAACTGGTTCAGCTAAAGATTTTATGACAAGTAACTCTGTTTCCTGGTGAATTTTCATTGTATTTTTTTCTTTGTTTTGGTGCCAGTCCTGGGGCTTGAACTCAGCTTTTTTGCTCAAGGCTAGCATATTACCACTAGAGTTAAAGCTCTGCTTCTGGCTTTATTTGATGCTTAATTGGAGACAAGAGTCTCAGCAGGGGCTAGATTTAAACTGTGACCCTCAAATGTCAGCCTCCTGGGTAGCTAGAATTACAGGCATGAACAACCAGTGTCCAGTTGTCATTGTATTTCTTTACTGAGAAATTTTGAGATGAAAGAATGGTGTGTGTAGAGTGTAACAATGTTCTCTCACTTTCTCCTAGATTACCAATAAGAGCAAAGAGTCGACATGGGCCCTAATTCACAGTGTGAGTGATGCTTTTTCCGGCTGGCTGTTGATGCTCCTTATTGGGCTTTTATCAGGTATGGGAAACTATGTTAGGATTCAATTTAGCAATTCTCTAAAAATCGTTGTGTGCCTTTCCCATGAGTCATTCACTAAGAAATGCCATATTTTTTCCACCTGAAATGAATTGCTGGGGAGACTTTTGGAAGTTCAGTGTCCCCATCTATAAATGGGTGATACTACCTGTATCATATCCTTTAAATAAATAAAATGCATTTAAACCCCTTTGTGTGCTATGAAATATCATGCTTGTTTTAAGGTGAAGTTAGCATTATTTTTCTAGAAGAAGAGTCCTTCTGGTGGATGGCTCCAATAAGGATTTTTTGTGACAGTCCTGAGGCTTAATCTTAGGGCCTGTACTGTGTCCCTGCACTTTTTTGCTCAAGGCTAGTGCTCTATCACTTGAGCCACAACTCCACTTCTGGCTTTTGAGGGGTTAATTGGAGATAAGAGTCTCATGTACTTTCCTGCCTGGACTGGCTTGGACCCTCAATCCTCAAATCTCCACCTTCTGATTAGGTAGAATTACAGGTGTGAGCCACCAGCATCCAGAAGTTAGGCAAGCTTCTTAAGTCTGGAGGCCTTAGTTTACTGATCCATGAAATTCAATAATGAAGTACCTATCTTGAAAGTTTTGTATAAAGGTTAAATAAGATATGACACTTAACAGAGTGTCCAGTTATTAAAATTACTATTGCTGTTGCCTAAGGACAATAATTTATGAGCCATGGAGTAGAAAATGACTACAGTAGACCCTGGGTATCTATAGATCAGCAGTTAAAAAGAGACACTATTGAGGAAAACCTGCACTTACTCGGGATACATAGAGCTCAGTGTTGTACTGCAGATAAATGATTCATTTTTCTCATAACATATGCCACCAACATTATCAAAGCTATGCTGCCTTTTGACAAATCTCAAATTTTACCTTATTACTTCAGTTAAGCACATTTTTTTACCTTAGTTTTATGGGGGGTGGGGTACCATTTGCTTTTGGGAGGCAGATTTTCACAAAATTAAGGGTGGGGAAACAGCTGATTACATGATCATTTAAACACAACTGAAACTAGCACAGTACTGACTATGAGCTCCTTTGTATCCACTGAGCTCCATAATGTACACATGGTAATTTAGAAGTTTATTATTAAAAAAATAAACTGACATGTTGAATGGGAGTGCCTTTGTACAACTATTTAAGGATAATAAAACACTAAAAAAATGCCAGGTGCTGATAGCTCATGCCTATAATCCTAGTTACTCAGGGGGCTGAGATCTGATTATTGTGATTCAAAACTAGCTTAGAAAGGAAAGTCTGTAAAACTCTTATCTCCAATTAACTGCCCCAAAAGCCAGAAGTAGAGCAGTGGCTCATGTGGGTAGAGCACTAACTTTGAGCAAAACAGCTCAGACACAGCACCCAGGCTATGAGTTAGCTTGAGGACTGACAGAAGAAGAAAATTAAAAAACAATAAAAAATGAAAGTTTATTTTTGAAATTTCCTTTGATTTTTAAAAATTTATTATTTTTGATCATAATCAAACTCACATGTAATAAATCTGCAAATAAGGCAGCTTTACGGTAGAGAAAATCAGGAATGTCTCAACCATCCCTAGTTAAAAAAAAAATGTTCAGGGAAGGGTTTGGCAAACTTCTTTCTATAAAGGAACCAGACAGCAAATATTTTAGGGTTCACGACCTATACAGCACCCATTCCATTCACCTGATATGAACAAAATCATCCATTGACCATGGGTAAACAAACAAGCCTGTCTGCCACAAGGTTGTCTTTATTGTCAAATATAGGGGATACACAAGATTTGGACCTTAGGCTATTGTTTGCCAACTGGTATCATGGAGCGCTGACCCCTCTGGCTCTTCTAGGAGCAAGAACATAGTAGGTTTGGAACTAACCTAATGGACTTGGTAGTTTATTATGCCAAATTACAAGAGGCCAGGGAGAAGGAAGATGGTAGAGAAAATGTTGAACAGTCTAGCAGTTAGGAGTATATTAATTACCTTGAAAATCCATCTCTGATCTATATTAGTAGCCAGATTTCAAGGGAAGGCAGGGAGTATAGAACTTATGGTAGTCAGAGGGAAGAGGAAGTAAAGCTTAAAGTGATATGAAATGTTACAACTGTAATCTTAGCTACCCAAGAGGCTGAAATCCAAGGATAATAATTTGAAGCCAGCCCAGGTAGGAAAGTCCTAGAAATTCTTATGGCCAATTAGCTAGCTAAAAGCAGGAAGTGGAGGTGTGGCTCAAGTGGTAGAGTGCCAGCCTTGTGAAAATCTAAGACACTATGAGTTCAAGTACCAGTACTAGCACAAAACAACAAAAAACTTGAAATGGTCACAAAGACAAGGGGTAACATTTTATTCTTTGGAGCAGGACAAACATAACAAAATTTGTAGCCAGAGATGAAAGAGCAATTGGGTAAGGTAGAAATAGAAAAGAATGCAAGACTGAAGGCAGCAAGGTTGTGTAAAGTAAGAAACACACATGTGAAACAGAGAACAAACTAAACTATATCAAACAACCAGCTAATTTTCTGAATCCAGTCAGTAAGTTCAGTAAGAGAAGGAGAAAAGCCTGGGAACTAGGAGTGGCCAAAAATCGGTATCTGGCAATGGGCTGAATTTGACCTGTGCTAATGCTTATAGTACCTACCAAAACACACAGGACATGGCCTCTCCCCTTGTGGAATATCTTCACGTTTTTAGCACATTTTTGGTCACTAGGGAGTCAGTGAATATTTTTCTTTCTCTCATAGACACAGAGTATTTTGTTTTTAAGTATTGGAGAGTAACAATAGAAGCAGTGTGCCTAAATGCAGGAACAGTCTGGGAATTCAGGGGCTGTGAATTTTATGAGGTCTTTACTATTTCCCTAAAGCATGATTCTGGGTCATTTAACTTTTCTGTGCTAGAGTTGCTTTATCTGAATAACAGGAATGACTAGAACACTAGAATAGAATCTCAAATACTAGTAGTCTAGTAACTATGCTGTTTATGCCCCCTGTTCCTTGTGGGGCTTTTTGTTTGTTTGTTTGTGTCCTGGGGCTTGAACTCAGAGCCTGAGCATTGTTCCTGAGATTTTTGCTCAAGGCTAGTGCTCTACTACTTGAGCCACTGCTCTACTTCTTTTGATGGCTAAGAGGATATAACGGGGTGGATGCCAGTGGCTCACACTTGTAATCCTAGCTACTCAGGAGGCTGAGATCTGAGGATCGTGGTTCAAAGCCAGCCTGGGCAGGAAACTTTGTGAGACTCTTATCTCCAATTAAACACTAGAAAACTGGAAGTGTTGCTGTGGGTCAAGTGGTAGAATGCTCTCCTTGAGCTGAAGAGCTCAGGGACAATGCCCAGGCTACAAACTTCAATTCTCAGATTTTGGCATCCTGAGTAGCTTGGATTACAAGTATGAGACACCTGTACCCAGCCAGTGCTTATTTTCTCATGATTTTATTTGATCAATATTCTGTGAATAATCACATTCTTAGAAATATCAAAGAGAATGTCAGAAGCCGGGGGCTAGTGGCTCATGCTTATAATCCTAGCTGCTCTGGAGGATGAGATCTAAAGATAACAGTTTGCAAGTCAGCTTTCACCAGAAACTCCTGGAGATTCTTATCACCAGTCAACCATGAAAACAAACAAACAAACAAAAAACTGGAAGTGCTTTTATGGCTTAAGTGGAAGAACACTAGCCTTAATCCAAAAATCGAAGGGACAGTGAGCCTAGCAGTGAGACACACAGATCAAGACAAAGAGAGGGGGAGGGGTGCAGAGAAAAGGAAAGAAGGAAGGAAGAAAGAAGGAAAGCAAAGCAAAGAGTCAGAATGTTCGTGTTCTAGATTTAGGAGGCTTTAATAGGTCTACTGCTTCATCTAGCCTTCCATGAACATCATAGTTTGTGCTTTTATAAATATCATTCCCTTAGCTTGCAAGGGAACCTGCCATTGTGCCAGTTCCCTTGTCCATGTATTGAAATCCTCCTATGGAGGCTTAACCTTTAGCCCTGTCAGCTGCATTAGCTCTTCTCCCCTCCCAGCCATCTCAAATATCATAGAATATTGCTCAGGCCAGAGAGCTTATATTTTCTCAATGTTGTGTCTATAGGGAGAGTTAAATAATTTTGAATAAACTTTATTGTCTTTACAGAATGGTATTCATAAATTCAGAGTCAAAGCAGTGTTCTCACCATATCAATTTAGTTTAAAAATGAATCTAGTAGCCCCCTGCACCTACCTTTTTTGCCTTTCCCTTAAGTCCCTCATATATGCAAAGTAAATACTTACTAGTGTAACGAGATAATAAATGAAAATCAAATAAGCTAACAGAACAAAGTTGCAGATGGAACAGGAAAATATATGTTTGTTATTTTCATTCCTTTCCCTGCATTTTTGCTGAGAAATATTTTTTGGATTATCAAAGAGCTACAGAACAGAGTTTCAGAAATGGACTTTCATTTTGTCCTTTGTTTCTTCCCCATAAATCAGGTTCCTTAGCTGGTCTGATAGACATCTCTGCTCATTGGATGACAGACTTAAAAGAAGGTATATGCACCGGAGGATTCTGGTTTAACCATGAACACTGTTGCTGGAACTCTGATCATGTCACCTTTGAAGACAGATACAAATGTCCAGAGTGGAATAGCTGGTCCCAGCTTATCATTAGCACGGATGAGGTAACATCTAGTGATCATTTCTGAACTATTCAATTTTATGCTTAGATTTATCTCATTTCTTATACTCATGGCAATTGTAGAATCTTCTCTTATCATGAAATTTAAGGAATTAAATTTTCTCTGGAAAAGCATAACCCATTCCAGCTACCTTTTCTGTGGTTTAAATACAAGCTCTGTTTCCTTGCTTATCTTAAAATTTTGATTTGTATTAAATAAGCTTGCTGTTATAAAGTATAAATTATCTTCCCTAATCATTTTAATAGAAATGTCAGTGACAGCCAACATGTAAGATGGCATTTCTAAAAAGGGATGATGGAATGGATTTAAAATGTTTTATACAGACACCAAAAGTGATTTTCCTCTGATCATTCCATTAGAATACTTTTTAAAAGTATCACAAGGGCTAATGGTGAGGCCAGCCCCAAGCAAAAAATGCAAGACCCTATCTGACAAATAACATATAAAAAAGACTGAGGGCATGGTTTAAGTGGTAGAGCACCTGCCAAGTAAGCAGGACTTGATTTCAAACTCTTGTGCAACTAAAAAATATAATTCCAGGTTGAAATAACAGAAACCCAAGCCGGGCACTGGTGGTTCATGCCTGTAATCCTAGCTACTAAGGAGGCTGAGATCTGAGGATCACGGTTCAAAGCCAGCCTGGGCAGCAAAGTCTGTGAGACTCTTATCTCCAATAAACCACCGGAAAACTGGAAGTGGTACTCTGGCTCAAGTGGTAGAGCACTCGCCACTCGCCTTAAGATGAAGAGCTGAGGGACAGCACCTAGGCCCAGAGTTCAAGCCCCACAGCTGACCAAAAAAAAAAAAAACAAAACCAGAAACCCAGGAAGAAAATTGCTCATACTCCCATTTTGTAATCAAATCAATACTTTCATTGTCAAGCTAGCATGTTTTTTGATGCAAAAGTAACTTTGGTTTTCCCTCCTTCCCCTCCTCCTTACCTTTCTCTCACCATTCTGTTATATGCTAGATCTCTCTCACTGAAATGGAAAGTATACCAAACAAAAAATTCTCAGCTCCCTTTTCCACTCTGACTGCTACAAATGAAAACAGGTACTTTATTAGCTGCCTATGTATGCATTCTGCTGATGAAGTAAGGAAATATGTTTATACTTTAAAGTTTTAATTTTATATTTACTTAAAAATTTTTGTGCCAGTAATGGGTCTTAAACTCAGGGCCTTGTGCTCTCACTTAGCTTTTTCACCCAAGGCCAGCACTCTACCACTTGAGCCACACCTCCTTGCTGGTTAATTGGAGATGAGTTTCATAGACTTCTACAATACTCAGATCTCAGCCTCCAATGTAGCTAGGATTATAAGCATAAAACACCAATGCCTGGCTTAAATTTTATTTTATTTTATCTATTTTTTTAAAAAGAAAAGTAGAATACAATTCTATTTTTAAAGCTGGCCACTTAAAAGTTGAAAGTAGAATAGTGGCCACTAGAGGCTAAAATGGGAAAGAAAAGAAGGGTACAGAGAGGTTGGATAATGGGTACCAAAACACAGAGAGAAGGAATAAGCTCTAGTGTTTTGCAGCACTATAGGATGACTATAATTGACTACAAATGGTTATATGTTTTATTTTTTTGTATGGTGATGGGAATCAAACTAAGGACCTGACTTATGCTAGGCAAGTGCTATACTACTTAGCTACATCCTCTTTTTATATATTTTATAGAGACCTAGAAGAAAGGAGTTAGAGGGTTCCAAATACAAAGAACTGTTCAATTTCTAAGGAGATAGAGATGCTAATTATTTAAGTTTGATAACTATACATTATATACATTAAATATATGTACAATTATGAGTGAATTAAAAAGAGAATATGAAATTAATTTTTGTTACTGACCATGGTACCCAAACAACTGGTGGTTGTTGGGGCCATGTATGTGTATGTGATACAATCAACCACAGGAAAAGGATAAGACTCAGAAATAGGGTTTAGGTATATATTGACTTAGAAAAAGGGTTCACTAAAGGGGTAGATAACTGCTGTGTGTTTGCAAGGACTTAGGTCTGTGCTTCTCAAACTGGAATGTGGTCAGTGTGTCAGAGGGCAGGTGAAACCACAGAATGAACATGAGGTGCCTTTCCAGAGCATCTGTTTTTCCTATTTGGAAGGAATGTGTTTCAAAACTTAAATGTAAACAAGGATTTTAAAATGGAATGTAAAGTTTCCCTTTGTTTGGTGTTGGAAATTGAACAGAGTTTTGCATATACTACACAAGTACTCTACCATTGAGCTATATTTCTAATACCTGGTTGGTTTTTTTTTTTTTTTAATTTTGAGACAGAATGTCACTGAGTTACCCAGGCTGGCCCTCAACCTTTGGATCATTCGGCTTCAGCAAGCCAAGTAACTTCACTTAACGAACAGACAAACAAAGCAGCCAGGTGCTGGTGGCTCACCCTTGAAATACTAGCTACTCAGGAGGCTGAGATCTGGGGATCCTTGTTCAAAGCCAGACTGCACAAGAAAGTAGAGATTCTATATCCAATTAATTACCAAAAAGCCAGAAATGGGGCTGATGCTCTAAGTGGTAGAGTGCTAGCCTTGAGCACAAAAACTCAGGAACAGTGCCAAGGCCCTGAGTTTAAGCCCAAGGACAAACACAAACAACAACAGTATCACAGGGCACTGGAGGCTCATGTCTGTAATCCTACTGAGGAAGCTGAGATCTTAGAATCAAGAATTGAAGCCAACCCAAGTAGGAAAGCTTATGAAACTCTTATCTTCAATTAATCACCAGAAATGTAGAAGTAGGGCTATGGCTTAAGTGGTAGAGTGCCATCCTTGAGCAAAAAAGGTAAGGGACAGTACCCAGATCCTGAGTTCAACCCCCAGCTAAAAGATCTCTTTTAGCTCTGTTCCCAGGTGCTGCCACCTTTTACCTGCTTGATGTCTATGTTTACTTTCCTAGTTTAAGAAGAAAAGTTTGAGATGTCCTAGAACTTATGAAGAGGTGGATGAAGAGAGGGAGAAAGACAGAGGGTGAGGCAGAGAGAGACAGAGAGATGGAGAGTGAGGCAGAGAGCAAGGAAGGGGGAGAGAGAGAGAGAGACAGAAAGACAGAGACACAGAGAGAGAGAGACAGAGAGATTTTCTTGCCCTGGAAAAAAATCTAGATTTTTTTTTGGTCAGTTGTGGGACTTGAACTCTAGGCCTGGGCACTGCCCCTGAACTCTTTCATTCAGGCTAGTGCTTTCTACCACTTGAGCCACAGCAACACTTTTGGTTTTCTGGTGGTTCATTAGAGATGGAAATCTCATGGACTTTACTGCTCAGGCTAGCATTGAACTGTGATCCTCAGATCTTAGCCTCCTGAGTAGCTAGGATTACAGGTTTGAGCCACTGGCATCTGGCTCCTCTAGATTTTAAGAAGCCTTATAGTTATTGCCATTTTACCAAGAATTTGGCCTACGGATCTCTGTCTCTGACCAGTTTCCTTTACTTTCCCTTCTACTCCCTTTCCTTTCCTTTTTGTTTTCTATCTCTGGAAATATCTTGCTCCCAAACAACATTTGAAAGGCAAAGAGGTAGCCTTTGTCTTTTCCTTTGAAGAGTTAAGACCATGGAAACCTGTCTCACAGACAGGACTCAGAAAAAAATATTATCTGAACATTCTGGCTCTTCTTATCTAGGTCTGTAAATTGTTTTAGTGGTGTCTTATATTTTGAAGAGTCAAAAGTCTATTGAGTTTTATATTCCATGTAATTTAAATGAGTTTCAATTCTTAATATTTCTACCAGCAAGTATAATTTCCTAGTGTCCAAAATTCCTGTTTTGTAAGGCCTGGCTATTTGCCAGTCCTTTAATGTTGATGATTTTTTTTTGTCAGTGTGGGGCTTGAATTCAGGGCTTAGGTGCTGTCCCTGAGCTTTTTCAATCAAGGCTAACACTCCACCACTTTGAGCCACATTGCTACTTCCTGTTTTCTGGTGGTTAATTGGAGATGCGTCTCAGGGCCTTTCCTGACTGGGCTGGATTAGAACCAGGGTCCTCAGATCTCAGCCTCCTGGGTAACCAGGATTACAGTCATAAGCCACCAGTGCCTGGCTAATGAATTCTTTTTAGTGGTCAAAACTAGATTTCTTTTAGCAAGATTTTATTATCATAGGGATGTTAATCTCAAAAGTATATTTTGTCCAGATGAAAATAGTTATTGCCATTTTATTATTTGGAAAATCTGGTATCATCAAAGTGAGATGCTTTCTACTTACACACTTGTTGCCAAGGCTGTCGTAGCACAACTCCAAGATGTTATCATTATATAGAGAATCTTAGAAGATGGTTGGATAAAGAGAGTAGTAGCCTAGTGGTGACTAGGGGCAGGGAAAGGGAGGAAAAGGGAGAAGTAGTTGAAAGGGGCAAAATTGCAGTTAGGTAGGATGACTAAATCTAGTGATATAACATAGCTCTCGAGGACTGTGGTTCATAGAATTATAGACTGACATTTGCTAAGAGATTAGATTATAAGTACTATTACAACAGTGCAAAGAAAGGTAATTGTGGAAGGTAAAAGATACAGAAATCTATTTGACTATAGGAAATCATTTCACTTTTTATATGTGTATTGAAACCTTGGGGCTGGGAGCATAGTCTGGAGTATTCTTTTAGTATACATGAGGCACCAGAAACCAAAATGAACCAAAACAAAAATCCCACAAAGTATCAAGTATATTGTCAACATGGACAAAAAAAATCAAAGAAAAACATTCACTGTTTTTCATCCTTATAATCTTCTGTGAGATCTGACACCAAGGTAGTAGCCAAAAGTGAATGCAAGACACTTTGGAGCTTGTCTTTCTTCAAATGTAGCTGAGATACAGCCATTCCAAAACAAAAGGGTGATGGAGGTGGCTAAAGTTCTTGGTAAAATTGACATTGAATCATGTGTTTGGAACTACAAAACCTATCAAAGCACTCATATAAAAATAAAACTGACCTTCGTTTCAGAATTTTCAGTTTGCTTTTCTATGTTGTCCATTCTTAGAATCTGTTGTAAATGTGCTCTAGGTTGAACAAACTATCTCATTTACAGTACCAAGTGTCCTGTCAGTGTGTCAGTAGTTGCTTTACTGGTAATCTGGAAGAAGTATTTGAGCAATTTAATATTGTCTTTTTCTTTTTGGCCTTCTGATCTGGAAACCCATACATACAGGAGTAATATATCTCCTTGAGGCAACCTTGGCTAAAACAAGCTTCTGTCTTTTCCTCTATTCCAGGGAGCCTTTGCCTACATAGTGAATTATTTCATGTATGTCCTCTGGGCTCTTCTATTTGCCTTCCTTGCCGTATCTCTTGTCAAGGTGTTTGCACCTTATGCCTGTGGCTCTGGAATCCCTGAGGTGAGTCTGTTAAAATACCTTATACACAGTAACAATATGCTGGGTGCAGGTAGTTCATGCCTGTAATCCTAGCTACCTAGGAGGCTGAGATGTGAAGGATCACAGTTGGAAGCCAGCTGGGACAGGAAAGTCCTTACCTACAATAAACTACCAAATAAGCCAGAGGTGAAGCTTGTGGCTCAAGTGGTAGAGTGCTAGCCTTGAGCACAAAAGCGCAGGGGCAGTACCCAGGCCATGAGTTCAAGCCCCAGGACAGACACAAAAAATAGTGACAATTTGATGAATCCTTTTTGGTTAAAATGTTGTAATGTGAATTTCAGCATATACCACCATTTGGGGATTATGAAGTAGAGTGGGATCCTGAAGCCACTTATGGCTTTTCTAGGTTTTCTTGCAGTCTCCTTTCAGCCTAGGCCACCTGATTTACATTAGAAGGAAGTAATGGTGGCGAAACCCTATTTCTTACTACCTTTGATTTAGATTGCTTGATAGCAGTTATAACCACTGCAATTGTAAGTTACCAGGATGACCTTTGCCCTTCTCTGTTTCTTGAATAAGTAATAGTCACAAATTTCTCAAGCAAGAAATCAAGACTAGATCTTTCCGTTTGTTTCAGGAACATTGACCATGTCCTCTCAGACTATTGCTTCATGGATCACCAATTTTCCCATTTCCCCATAATTAAATGACTATTTTAGAGGTTGGAGAGATTGCTTAGGTGGTAGGGCACCTTCCATTGAGTAAAAGCAGCAAATAATTTTTTGAGTCCTGATCTTAGACAAAAAAATTGACTGCTTTAAGAGCATGTTGTGCTGTATAGAAATCAGCATTCTCTCCCATAATTCTGTGCATCTGGGGCTATAGAAATGCCATTGTTGCTACCTCATATCCTCAAATTAACATTCTCAGGTCTCAACAGTAGGCCTTCCTGTGGGGGATCCTCCAGAAAAAACAAGCTATTTTCCCAGTTCCTATAGCCCTCTTTTGGTAGTGTATATCAATAGCCTTTCCTAATATATACAGAGGAGTAAAAAGGAGAATCTACTAGTTAGATATAAGCACAATGGATAGGTCAACATATTAGTAGTCCATGTATTTTCATTACAAGTCATAGTGAGCTAATGTGATTCGTCATAGAAAGGGGCCACCACTTCTCCATCTATACACTGTCAGGTGTACAACACATCCTCACACAATCATTACATGCCCCACTCCCCCCCCCCCAAAGGATATGCACATCTTGACAAACAATTCTGGCTTTCTTGGGCTCCTAGATCCTTCCCAAGTAGAGATCATTGTAGGTCAAATCTTTTACTTTCACTCTATCAAAATTTACACTTTCTGTCATGAGGTCCAGATTTAAGCTCTTAAGCCTTGCTTTTAATGTTTAATATCTCTGTGCTTGGCCTGCAGATAAAAACTATCTTGAGTGGCTTCATTATTAGAGGCTATTTGGGTAAGTGGACCCTGGTCATCAAAACCATCACCTTGGTGCTGGCAGTGTCATCTGGCCTGAGCCTGGGCAAAGAGGGCCCCCTAGTGCATGTGGCTTGCTGCTGTGGGAACATCCTATGCCACTGCTTCAACAAATACCGTAAGAATGAAGCCAAGCGCAGAGAGGTAATGACATAGTCTTACTAGTTGTTGTTGTTGTTTTTTTTGTATGTGAAAGCATAAATAATCAAATCTTAGGAGTTAGAATTTGGGGATTCTACCAATGTGAGTGCGAATGAGTAGTTAATACTATAGTGATCTACAGCATATGTTTGTGCACAGGTGTCTGGGGATAGTTAGTGCATTGTTTTGTCAGTAGACTGAAAGTCTGAAGCAACCCAAATGTTCATCAATAGGGCTAGCCAAATAAACCTTATTTTGCATATACCATAGGATAATTTTGCAAATATCGAAATGAATGAGATAGTAGCTTGGTTCAGTAGCTCAAGCTTATGGACCCTCCTACTTGGGAGGCAGAGATCAGAGAATTCATGGCCAGCATGAGGGGAAAAAGTTTGTGAGGCTCTACTTTGACCAAAGATTGAGCATGATGGCACACACCTGTCTTACCAGCTATGGGAGAAGCACAGTGACTGGGTATGATGGCATACACATTTTAGCTATGTGGTGAAACACAAATAGGAGGATCACAGTCCCAGTCAATTAGGGCATAAAGCGAGACCCTATCTTGAAAATAACATTCATAAAAGGGGGGTTGCTAGTGGAGAGGCTCAAGTTGTAGAGTGCTTGCCTAGCAAGCTCAAGGATCCAAGTTCAAACCTCAGTACTGCCAAGAAAGAAAATGAATGAGACAGAAAGATACACATACACTCACATGCATGCACTCACGCACACACAAAATGCTGGGGATAGAAGAACACTATTACTTTAAAAGCCAGGGTTTTGTTTTCTTTTGTTTTTTAAAGTGAGTTTAACCAGGCACCAGTGGCTCAGGCCTATAATCCTAACTACTTAATAAGCTGATATATGAAGATTGCAGTTTGAAGCCAGCCCAGGCAGGAAAGTCCATTAGACTCTTATCTATAATTAACCAGCAAAAAGCTGGAGGGGGAGCTGTGGCTCAAATGATAGGGCACTAGACTTGAGGGAAAAAAAGCTTAGGGACAGTGCCCAGGATTGAGATCAAGCATCAGGACTGGCAGACAGAAAAAAGTAAGTTTGTAGGTAGACACTGATGGCTCAGGCCTGTAATCCTAACTACTTAGAAGATTGAGATATAAGAATCACCATTTGAAGCCAGCCCAGGCAAGAAAGTCTGTGATACTCTTTTTTTTTGGGGGGGGGGGGGTCCGGTTGTGGGGCTTGAACTCTGGGCCTGGGCGCTGTCCCTCAGCTCTTCAGCTCAAGGCTAGCGCTCTACCACTGGAGCCACAGCGCCACTTCCGGCTTTTTTCTTTTTGCTTATGTGGTGCTGAGGAATCGAACCCAGGGCCTCAGGCATGCAAGGCAAGCGCTCTACCACTGAGCCACCTTCCCAGCCCTCTGTGATACTCTTATCTTCACTAAACTACCAAAACAGTTGGAAGTAAAGCTGTAGCATTAGTGGTAGAGTTGCAGGCCCTGAGCTCAAGCCCCAGGAACAGCACACACACACACACACACACACACACACACACACACACACACACACACACACACACACACACACACACACAAAGTGAGTTTGTGACTATATGTATGGTATAATTAAAGATTTTTTGTGCTATTAGGGTTTGAACTCAGGGCCTCAGGCTTGCTAAGCAGGTATTTCACCACATGACCTACACTCCCCAATTCAGGTTTTTTGTTTTTTGTTGGTTGTGGGGCTTGAAATCTGGGCTTGAGGACTGTCCCTGTGCTCTTCAGCACTCTACCGCTTGAGCCATAGCGCCACTTCTGGTTTTCTAGTAGTTTATTGGAGATAAGAGTCTCACAGACTTACCTGCCCAGGCTGGCTTTGAACCTTGATCTTCAGATCTCAGCCTCCCAAGTAGCTAGGATTACAGATGTGAGCCACCAGCACCCAGCAATGTTTCTTTTTAGAGTACATACATATGCACTTAACAGGAAAATGTTTGGAAAGTGGTGGTTAAAGACATACTTCTAGTGGCTAGGGAAAAATAAAGGAGGATTTTAACTTTTATTGTATATAATCCTAATGTGTTGCTTCTATTATAAAAGAAGTTACAGATAGGTACAGTGGCTCACTACTGTAATCCTAACTACTCAGGAGGCTGAGACTGAGAATTGTGGTTTGAAACCAGCCCAGGCAGAAAAGTCTCTGAGAGTCTTATCTCCAATTAACCAGCAAAAAGCCAAAGTACAGATAGGGATCAAATGGCTCAAGTGCCAGCCTTGAGTTAAAAAGCTAAGGGACTGCACCCAAGTACTGAGTTCAAGTCCCAGTAGCAGCACACAAAATAAATGAAGTTACTAAAGGGTGACATTGTCCAAAATAGAAAGGTACTTCATTACCTAAGTTGTGAAATGGTAACTCCTCATACAAAACCTTAATAATAACAATAAAATTATATTTTATTTATTTTTTGATGATTCTGGGACTTGAATTCTGGGCCAAGGTGCTATCCCTGAGCTCCTTGCTCAAGGCTAGCATTCTACCATTTGAGCCACAGCACCACTTCTGGCTTTTTCTGTGATTAATTGGAAATAAGAGTCTCAGAAGAGGAAGCCCACCTTTGACCACAATCCTCAGATCTCAGACTTCTGAGTAGCTGGTATAAACAGGTGTGAGCCACCAGTGTCCCGCTTATTTTATTTATTTTTGTCATTTATGGGGCTTGAACTCGGTGTCTCTGAGCACTTTTGCTCAAGACTAGCACAGCTCCACTTCATTTTCTGGTGGTTAATTGAAGATAAGAGTCTCATGGAATTATCCTGCCCTGACTGGCTTTGAACCACAATCCTCACATCTCAGCCTCCTGAGTAGCTAGGGTTACATGTATGAGCCACCAGTGCCCAGCTTAAAATTATATTGTAAAAAAGAACTAAAGAAAAAAAAAAAGAACTATGGGACTGGGAAGGTGGTTCAGTAGTAGAGCGCTTGCTCCTCAGCACCACATAAGCAAAAAGAAAAAAGCTGGAAGTGGTGCTGTGGCTCAAGTGGTAGAGCGCTAGCCTTGAGCTGAAGAGCTGAGGGACAGTGCCCAGGCCCAGAGTTCAGGCCCCACAACCAGACCCCTCAAAAAAAAAAAGAAAAAGAAAAAAAAAAACTAAAGAAAGTCATGGGTTTTAAGAAGGTTGTTTATTCCTGTGAAAGAATAAATAAATACAAATGATATGTGTTTCAGATGTCAGCCCTTTCATCTTTTATTTCTATGTAATGCCACATTTGGTTTAGTTTCTATTGTGTTAGACCTCTGTCCACCTCCTACCTTAACCCAGACCTATTATAACAACTGTAGTTCTCAGATTTACACCGTTTTTTAATGTATGGTATTTTGAGAAAGTAAAACAGTTCTTAAAAAACGTTCCAAGTAATTGATTTTTTTCCCTGAACTAATTAAGGATTTAAAAAAAACTAATGTTTTTTTATTGAATTATTTTCCTTGGACTGCAAAATAATCACATATGGAATGGATCAATACCAAGATCCTTTCATTAAAAAAAGATTTTTCACAAAATTGGAACCTGGTGATTTCTTCTGAAAACAAATAACAACAACAAAAAAAAGATTTACTACAAGACCCAGAAGGAAAAAACAAGATGATGAGATTTCAAATGTGACATAAATTTTGATGATTTAAGAGGGAAAAATTCCTGACAGGAAGGAGACAAGAGCTAGGAGGAATAAGATAGGAATGTGCAGTAGGTTGTTGAGCTTCCTGACCTATAGCAGAGGGACACAAGCTTGTGTTGGATTGGTGAGTTATTAAATGCAATAAAGTACAATGAAAGTGGAAGAGTTAAAAAAAATTGGCAGTAAGTACTTTGAACTCAGGGCTTTGCACTTTCTAGGTACATGCTCTACCACTTGAGCCCTTTTTGTTCTGGCTATTTTTCAGATAAGAGTCTTTCCCTTTTTGTTGTTCATGATGGCCTGGACTGTTGTCTATCTTTTTTTTTATACTTCCTGCCATATCTTGGATGACAGACACACACCACCATCCCCAACTATTGGTTGTGATAGAGGTCTTGAGAATTTTTCTTGGATTTAACTCAAACCACAACCCACCTGATCTCTACTTCCTGGGTATCTAGGATTTCAGGCATGAGTCATCAACATCCAGCTGCAGACAAACCATTTTAACAGACAAGAGTAAAGTGTTAATTGTTGCTGGCTAGGCATGGATGGTAGTGAATTTGGAAGTGACTTTCCTTCCATAAAATTGTCATTTTTGTTCATCGTTTCTTATGCAAAGAGAAGGGAATTTTGTCTGTTTTCTTCCATATAGATGCCATATATTTCTCTGACTATATAAATATTTGCATCTTCAACCTATTATTTATTCATGTGTTTTTCAATTGTGTGGTACTAGGGATCAAACCCAAGGCCTCCTGCAAGTTGTCCTTTTCTATTCTCATCATTAGGGCATGACCAATGGCCTTCTCAAGGTGGGCAGATGGTTGGAGAAGGAAGAATGTAGACAGATTTCCCTGAACAATATGAAACTAAAGCAAAGCAGCCAACTTAGCTCTTTTTTTCTCCTTCCTGATTTATCCCAAACATAGCCAGTGAAGTCTCCTGACTTTAAGTCATATATTAGTTGTTCCTATTCTCCTAAAATGAAAGCCATTGGAAAGCAGGTGAGGGTGACTCATACCTGTAACCCTAGCTACTCAAGAGGCTGAGATCTGAGGATCAGAGCCAGTCTGGATAGGAAAGTCTGTGAGACTCTTGTTTTTTTTTTTTTTTTTTGGTCTGTCATGGGACTTGAACTCTGGGCCTGGACACTGTCCCTGAGCTCTTCAGCTCAAGGGGAACACTTTGCCACTTGAGTCACAACGCCATTTCTGTTTTTCTGGTGGTTAATTGGAGATAAAGCGTCTCACGGACTTTCCTGCCTGGTCTGGCTTTGGACCGTGATCCTTAGATCTCAGTCTCCTGAGTAGCTAAGATTACAGGCATGAGCCACCAGCCCCCAGCTTTTGAGATTCTTATTTCCAATTTACCACCTAAAGAGCCAGAAGTTGATCTATGGCTCAGTGGTAGAACACTAGCTTTGAGCAAAAAAGTTAATGGAAAACACCCAGGCTCTGAATTCAAGCCCTAGTATCGAAGAGAAGTAAGAAAAGAAAAGATCAAGAGGCTTCATCTCCAAAATAACCAGGAAAAAAGTTGAGCTGTAAAATTTGCAGGGCACAGGGCCAACAGTGAAAATCTTATTCTTCCCCTGCTTTATTTTCCTGTACCTTACTATACTCTCAGAGAACACTGAACACTGCTGATTTTTCCAAGGATCATTTCAATTCTTCAAATCTTATTTTGGTTCCAACTTTTCTGACTCTCCAAATTTTCTATTTCTCCACATTAACTAGAATCCAAAGAAGAAATTCACAGATGCTGGTTTGTTATCACCAGTATTAACCCTATACACATTACATGTCCCACATGCCCACATAGAGGTGACACTCTCCAAATAATACTTGTTCTCCTTCCTATCTCTCCGTCCTTTTGTTGTTGGTGGTAGTGGTGGTCATGGGGTTTGAATTTGGGGGCTCTTTTGCTCAAGGCTAGTACTCTACCACTTTGAGCCACAACTCTACTTCCAGTTTTCTGGTGGCTAATTGGAGAGAAGAGTCTCATGGACTTTCCTGACTGGACTGGCTTTGAACTTTGATCCTCAGATCTTAGCCTCCTGAGTACTTAGGATTACAGGTGTGAGCCACCAGTGCCTGGCATTTCTGTCCCTTTTTGCCTCCAGTAGCTTCTTCAGGTCTCTCCTAGTCCCTTTCCTTGTCACTCCTAAATACATTTAGATCTTCTCTTCCTTTGAAAATCTAGTTTTTTTTTTTATTGTGAGAATACCATACAGAGGAGTTACAATTACATGGGCAAGATAACGAGTACATTTCTTATCAAGCATTGTTGCCTCCTCGTTGTTTCTCCTTGAAAATCTAGTTTCTTTATTTCTGTTTCCATAGGTAATTGGGCATGAAGTAGGTAGGGCACATGGTACAGGAAAGTAAATATACAGTTTATGAATAATGCAGCTCCTGAAGAGCTATAAGCCAATTGTAGTTTGAGCTCTCCATCATTAGAGCCTTCTTTAACATTCTCTCTTAAGAACACATTCCCTTTGTGGAAGGTCAAATTTTGTTTTAGTTGTTTTGGGTTTTGTGATTGGGACTTCTAACTCAGGGCCTCATGCTCTCACACAACTGTTTTCCTCCAGGCTTGTCTTCTACCACTTGTGCCACAGCTCCACTTCCAGCTTTTTGGTGGTTCATTGGAGATAAGAGTCTCACAGACTTTTCTGCCTAGGCTGACTTTAAACTTGATCCTCAGATCTTTGTCTTCTGAATAGCTAGGGTTACAGGTATGAGCCAAAGTGCCTAGCCAGTCAAATGATTTTTTCCAGTGGCCAGAGGATAAGGAGATTTAGGAGTTGCAGTTTTGCAAAATGAAGAAGTTCCGTAGAACTATTGCAGAACAATGTGAATGTAATTAACACTGCTGAACAGAATTTTATTTAATTTATTTTTTTATTGTGAAAATACCATACAGAGGGGTTACAATTACATGGGCAAGATAATGAGTACATTTCTTATCAAGCATTGTAGTCTCCTCCTTTGTTTCCCCTTCCCATTCCTTCCCATTCTCCCCTCACCCCCCCATCCAATCCTCTTCCCCCTCCCCCCACCCAATCCTCCTCCCTCCTTCCCCCCACCAAAGTTGTAAAGTTCATTTTCGAAATAACGACTTGTACATCTCATTGTTGCAATGGGTCCACCTGTATCCCTATTTAAATGATTTCTTTTTCCCCTTTCCCTCCACAAATTATACCAACATCAAATACAGTGAAAGCAGGGGTTATACTGTGGGGGAGGAACATACAAAGCAACAAAGAAATCATCTTATAAATGTGTTAGAACCAATCGCATGAAAGAAAAAAACATTTGAATACATATTTTAGGGTTCATTTCCCTAACATCAACTTAGCTGACCTTTTCTGCTTGACTCAGACATATACTAGTTATTGCAAATAAGGGAAACTATGGGACCTATGTTTCTTTGGGCCTGGCTTTTTTCACTTAATATAATTTTTTCCTAGTCTTTCCATTTCCTAACAAATGGGCCAATGTCATTCTTTCTGATGGAGGCATAGAATTCCATTGTTGAACAGAATTTTAAAATGAACAGAATATATAAAAACATTCCTTTATGAAAGGAACTAATTAAATATATCACTGTAAATACTGCATTATATGGAGGGATGTAGGTCTCCAAACTCACATTGCAAGTACTGCAGATCAGTGTTTAATTTGGGGTAAAACATGAGCCGTAATCCCAGGAAAGGTCCTTTTTGCTACTTAAGCACATGAACATCATAGGTGTTCAACCTGTAGGAGACAGTAAATTGAAATTGAACTGTGTTGTCCAGCATGGAGTGTGTAAAGGTTTTTTTTTGTTTTTTGTTTTTTTTTTTGGGTCCGGTCGTGGGGCCTGAACTCTGGGCCTGGGCGCTGTCCCTCAGCTCTTCAGCTCAAGGCTAGCGCTCTACCACTTGAGCTACAGCACCACTTCTGGCTTTTTTCTTTTTGCTTATGTGGTGCTGAGGAATCGAACCCAGGGCCTCATGCATGTAAGGCAAGCGCTCTACCACTGAGCCACCTTCCCAGCCCTGGAGTGTGTAAAGGTTTTAAACAAAAATTTTAGTAATTGCTATCACTCCTTTAAAAACAAAACAAAAGGTCTGGGATGTAGCTCAGTGACAAAGCACTTGCCTAGCAAGTGCAATGTCCTAGGTTCGATCCCCAGTACCAAAAAATAAATAAATAAATAAAAATAAATAAAACAAAACAAAACTGGCGCAAGTGGCTCACGCCTATAATCCTAGCTTCTCAGGAGCCTGAGATCTGAGGATCACAGTTTGAAGCTAGCCCAGGCAGGAAAGTCCATGAAACTCTTTATTTCCAACTAATTAGCAAAGTGCTGGAAGTGGAGCTATGTCTTAAGTGGTAGAGTTCCAGCCTTGAGTGAAAAAGCTTAGGGACAGTGTCAAGGCCCTGAGTGAAGCCCCAGAATTGGCAAGAAAAATAAAATTAAAACATTAGATTTAAATACCATGTTTTGGGGCTGGGAAGGTGGCTCAGCAGTAGAGCGCTTGCCTTGCATGCCTGAGGCCCTGGGTTCGATTCCTCAACACCACATAAGCAGAAAAAAAAAGTCGGAAGTGGCGCTGTGGCTCAAGTGGTAGAGCGCTAGCCTTGACCTGAAAAGCTGAGGGACAGCGCCCAGGCCCAGAGTTCAGGCCCAAGACCGGAAAAAAAAAAAAAAAAAGAGGTAAATACCATGTTTTTCTCTCACTAATTTTGAGTTTTTGATTGTAGGTTTTATCAGCTGCAGCAGCTGCTGGTGTATCTGTAGCCTTTGGGGCACCTATTGGTGGAGTGTTATTCAGCCTTGAAGAGGTAATGGATTCTGACAGTCTGTAAAGTATATGTGTGCTTTTATAATTTTTAATTTTTATCGTTATTACAAAAGTGATGTACAGAGAGGTTCCAGTTACGTAAGTCAGATAAAGAGTACATATCTTTTTGGACATTATCACCTTTTCCCTCACTCTTCCAGTTTTTCCCTCCTCTTTCCACCCACAAGTTGTATAGTTCATTTTCAACATAAATCTGTGTGTTTTTGTGTCAAAAATTTTGGCCAGTATTAATGTATGTGCTCTATACAACTCAATGTACTTTACCATGTGACTAGAAATCTCAGGGTACTTTTTGTTCTTGCTTCTAATGCCAACAGCACCAATATTTCGCCTGAAACATTTCTGCTTATTAACTGAGTTTGTTTTCTCACTTTTGTCTTACAGGTCAGCTACTATTTTCCACTGAAAACCTTATGGCGTTCCTTCTTTGCTGCCCTAGTAGCAGCATTTACTCTACGCTCCATCAATCCATTTGGGAACAGCCGCTTAGTTTTATTTTATGTGGAGTTTCACACTCCATGGCATCTCTTTGAGCTTGTGCCATTCATTCTATTAGGCATATTTGGTGGCCTGTGGGGAGCTCTGTTTATCCGCACAAACATTGCCTGGTGTCGGAAACGTAAGACCACACAGTTGGGCAAATATCCTGTTATAGAAGTACTCATTGTGACAGCCATCACTGCCATTCTGGCCTTCCCTAATGAATACACCCGAATGAGCACAAGTGAGCTCATTTCGGAGCTGTTCAATGACTGTGGCCTTCTGGACTCCTCCAAGCTGTGTGATTATGAGAATCACTTCAACACAAGCAAGGGCGGTGAGCTGCCTGACAGACCTGCTGGCGTGGGAGTCTACAGTGCCATGTGGCAGCTGGCTTTGACACTCATACTGAAAATTGTCATTACTATATTCACCTTTGGTATGAAGGTGAGGACATCTTGTGGTGCTCAGTGTCTGTATGTGTGGCTGTGGGTTTTGGCTGTGGTGCCAAATTCCTCTAACATGATTACCTACCTCTAGACCCGCCCCCTCCTTTGTTTCCTACTTATTCTCATAACTTGCTTAACAATTGTATCTCTATCTCATATTATTTAAGCCTACTTTTGTGCCATATGCAAATCTCAGTGATAAGATTTTAGGAAGATAAATTTTCTTTGTTTTTCTTTTCTTCTTTGTTTTTTTTTTTTTTTTTTGTGCTGGTCCTGGGGCTTGAACTCAGGACTTGGGAGCAGTCCCTAAGCTTTTTCACCGAAGGTTGAAACTCTACCACTTGAGCCATAGCCCTACTTCCAGATTTTTACTGGTTAATTGGAAATAAGTCTTATAGACTTTAATGCCCAGACTGGCTTCAAACCATAATCCTTAGATCCCAGCCTCCTGAATAGCGAGGATTACAGGTGTGAGCCACCAGAACCCAGCAATTTTTCTCCTTTTTTGTAGAAACATATTTTGCTTTCCCCAAAGGATGATGAGGTACTTATTCTGGTACATTTCATACCAAAAATCAATATATGTTGGGCCATGGTCTGTGAGACTCTTATCTCCAATTAGCTACCAAAAAGCTGGAAATTGAGCTGTGGCCAAAGTGGGGAAAGCACTAGCCTTGAGCAGATATGATCAGAGACAATATCCAGGCCCTGAGCTCAAACCCCAGGAATGGTACATTTTTTTTTTTTTACTGTTATGCTATACCCAATAAATATAAACCATTATGTGCTAATTAAAATAAAAAACAGACCTCAGAGTAGTATATTTTAGTCCTAATACCTGTTACAGCTTCCATGTTTCAGACAAAATAAAAAAGGAGGAAACTTTGGTATTTTCCTTTTCCTAGGTTTTCATTTGTTTGTTTCCTTGCTTTAGCACCATACAACCCAATCATTTCTGTCTATTCTCCAGTGAAACAGAGATTCAAATCAGGATGGAGACCCTGAAAAGTTTTGCAGAGACTCATGAGTTAATCTTTGACTTGTAGTTTCATAGTTTTATTTAAAGACCAGCAGAATACCAACTGCAAATACATTCTAAAGTCAAACATAGACTGGTTGAGAATAACCCACTGCCTTTCTTCTTATAATCAGAACATTAGTAATTCACAGGAACATTCTAGCAGCCAAGGGATATAGATAGATGAATTTTTCTTTTTAGTTAAGCATGTAGCCATAGCCATAATCTCTTTATAAATTTTGTTACAAAATAGATTGAAACCCTATGCACCATTTTTTTTGTATGTGAGTGATGGATTCAAAATAGTAGCATAGTATGGGCATTCCATTTAAATCCTAGCACCAGTTGTTACTGAATTTTGACCTTGAGTGAATGACTTAATCTTCTGGACTTTGGGCTCTTTATTATTGTTAAATAATAATGATACTTCTTAAATAATAATGACTACTTATAAGTATCTATAAAACCTTGTATGTAGAGCATCCTTCATAGAATATAGTAGTCAATGAAGAGTAGATTGTTATCAATAAGAATTCAAGATTGAGGAAATGTCTGCATACATAAGAAATTCCATCTATTTTCCTTTTTCTTTGGGAAAGGCCTGATTTCTGACTCTGTTCTGTGTTGGTCTGGAGAATTTAGGCTCTTGCCTGCTGGACCCCGAATCAGGGTAAGCTGCTTTGCAGTTGTCCTTGCCTGCACGTCCCAGAGAACCTCTAGTGCCTGTAGTGTTCCACAAATCTTAAAGCCACTTGCTAGCATAGTGCCTCGTTCAATTGTCATTGGCCTGTTTGCTTTGCAGAGGGTCAGTCCTCCAGCCCTTACCACGTGCCAAGCAACTTCATCATTTATCACTAATTAGATCTTGCTTTCTCTTTGCAGATCCCTTCTGGCCTCTTTATTCCTAGCATGGCTGTTGGCGCTATAGCAGGTCGCCTTTTAGGAGTAGGAATGGAGCAGTTGGCTTATTACCACCATGACTGGAGCATCTTCAATAGCTGGTGTAGTCAGGGAGCGGACTGTATCACGCCTGGCCTTTATGCCATGGTTGGGGCTGCAGCCTGCTTAGGTGAGTAGTGTTTGCATTGATTTAAAAGAAGTCACTCTCCAGGTAACTTACAGAAAACAAGTGATATTGCTGGGGATGTGGCTTGATTGGTAGAGTGCTTGCTTAGTGTGCATGAGACCTTGAGTTCGATCCCAGCACAGGTGGGGGGAAAAACAAGCATGAAAGTACTTCGACTTCTTTACTAAGAAGAGTGATAATAAACATGGTTGACTGCAGAATATTTAAAAAATGATAATCCATTTCCTGTTGGGTTCACTATTTTTCAAGCATTTTAAGGAAGCTAATTCTACTCCCATGCTGCGAAATAATCAGAAATTGGACAAAGATAGCTGTATAAGAATGTATGTCAGAGCTGGGCACCAGTGGCTCATGCCTGTAATCCTAGCTACTCAGGAGGCTGAGATCTAAGGATCACAGTTCAAAGCCAGCCCAGGCAGGAAAGTCTCTGAGACTTTTTATCTCCAATAAACCACTCAGAAAACCAGAAGTGGTGCCATGGCTCAAGTGGTAGGGTGCTAGCCTTGAGCTGAAGAGCTGAGAGACAGTGCCCAGGCCCAGAGTTAAAGCTCCACGACTGACAAAATAAAAAAAAAGAATGTATGTCAGTATTATTGATATCAATAAAAGATGATCCAGATGTCATGGCTCACACCTGTAATCCCAGTACTTGGGAGGCTGAGGCAGGAGAATCTTAAGTTCCAGGCCAGCCTGAGCTACATAGTAAAAACAAAAGGAAATTATTACATAAATTGTGGTCATCTGTATGACATCATGTTATGTAGCCTTTAAATATGTCAATGTATGTAACATTTAAAAATATAACATTAAATTCATAGTACAAATTGTTCCCAACATAAAATGGGGGAAAGCATGGGGTAGAGAACATAATATGTTTCCCTCTGTGAAGACATAGTTTGCTTAGAAAGTACTTGAAAATGTCGCGTAGAATTTTCACTCTGTTTGCTTATAGGCAGTAAGCTTATTAATAATTACTTTCATCTTTTCTGAATTTTCTACAATGGGCATGCGTTACTTTTATAATTAGGGAAACGAAGTAACGTGAAAAAAATCAAGAAGGCATCTTGTACTTTGTTATTTTGAGAAATCTGAGTCACATCTGTTTTAACCTTACTTTAATGCAATCTCCGGGGCCTGCACAGTTGTCAGTGAGACCCTATTCTAGCATTATTTCTGGTAAGTACGTTTTTCCTAGATGGGGCCTGTGATAGGCCCACAATTGTAATGAATCCTATGCTTTGTCTTCTTCAATGGCTTGTGTCTATTTCTTTGCAGGTGGGGTGACTCGGATGACTGTTTCTCTTGTTGTCATAATGTTTGAACTAACTGGTGGCTTGGAATATATCGTGCCTCTGATGGCTGCAGCCATGACAAGCAAATGGGTAGCAGATGCTCTTGGGCGTGAGGGCATCTATGATGCCCACATCCGTCTCAATGGATACCCCTTCCTTGAAGCCAAGGAAGAGTTTGCTCATAAGACCCTTGCAATGGATGTGATGAAACCCCGGAGGAATGATCCTTTATTGACTGTCCTTACTCAGGACAGTATGACCGTGGAGGATGTGGAAACGATAATCAGTGAAACTACTTACAGTGGCTTCCCAGTAGTAGTGTCCCGGGAGTCTCAAAGACTTGTAGGCTTTGTCCTTCGAAGAGATCTCATTATTTCAATTGGTAAGGATTTCAGAAAGGGGATAAGGGTATCCCCTCTGGAATTCGATAAATATTCATGTAGTTTCCTGGTGCTGGTGGTCCATGCCTATAATCCTAGATACTCTGGAAGCTGAGATCTGAGGATCGCAGTTTGAAGCCAGCCCGGGCAGGAAAGCCCATGAGACTCCTATCTCTAATTAATCATAGAAAAAGCTGGAAGTGTTCAGTGGCTCAAGTGGTAGAGCACTAGCCTTGAGCAAAAAGGAGTTCAGCGGGGCTGGGAAGGTGGCTCAGTGGTAGAGCACTTGCCTTGCATGCATGAGGCCCTGGGTTCGATTCCTCAGCACCACAGAAGCAAAAAGAAAAAAGCCGGAAGTGGCGCCGTGGCTCAAGTGGTACAGCGCTAGCCTTGAGCTGAAGAGCTGAGGGACAGCACCCAGACCCAGAGTTCAGGCCCCACGACCGGACCCAAAAAAAAAAAAAACAAAAAAAGGAGCTCAGCAACAGTACCCAGGCCCTGAGCTTGAGAGTCTCAAGATTAGCAAATACACACACACACACACACACACACACACACACACACACACACACACACACACACACACACACACACACACACACACACACACACACACACACACACACACACACACACACACACACGAGATATAAAGGGAGTCCAGGGAGAATAGGAAACTAATTAGAGCTAGAACTTTCATTTTCAATCTTTTTTTCTTTTCAAATAGAAAATGCTCGAAAGAAACAGGATGGGGTTGTGAGCACCTCTATCATTTATTTCACTGAGCATTCTCCTCCAATGCCACCTTACACTCCACCCACCCTGAAGCTTCGGAACATCCTGGATCTCAGCCCCTTCACTGTGACTGACCTTACACCCATGGAGATCGTAGTGGATATCTTCCGCAAGCTGGGACTGCGGCAGTGCCTGGTTACCCACAATGGGTAAGAACTCTGGGGTGAAGGCAGATTGCATTCTGGGAGAAAAGCAAATGTGGTGACAGAAAGGAGTACCTGATTTCAATGAACATTAGCAGCACTTTTAGGCCTTTGTGAAGCTCTTTGGGTAAGACAAATGTGGTGTGTGTGTGTGTGTGTGTGTGTGTGTGTGTGTGTGTGCGCGCGCGCACACATGCACACACGCGTGCGTGCTGCTCTTAGGGCTAGAACTCAGGGCCTGGGCACTGCTGCTGTACTTTTATGCTCAAGGCTAGTAGTGTTGTGCCACTTAAGCCATAGCCTCACTTCCCAGCTTTTTTTTTTGAGGTTTATTGGAGATAAGAGGCTCATAGACTTTCTTGCCTGGGCTGGCTTTGAACAGTGATCCTCAGATCTCAGCCTCTTGAGTAGCTACGATTACAGGCATGAGCCACCAGTACCTAGCTGGCTATATTTCTTTTATCATCATAATTAATAGAAGAGGAATTTGTAGAAGAAAGTGTTTGAGAAACATGAACTGTGCAGTAGTAACTCAGGTGTTCCTCAGCAAAAGATACAGCCATGTTCTTGTGCATAGACAGTACTGAAACTGTCATGGTATCAGGTGGGTTAGTATAGGACAGTAGTCCCGTGATCCTGGGGGCATTCTTTCCAAGACCAACAATGGATGCCTGAAACTGCATTATGGTATTGAACCATATGTACAAACTATATTTTTGTTATACCTACATCCCTATAATGAAGTTAGTGGCACAGTAAGAGATTAAGAACAACAAATATAAAATAGAATAATTATAACAGTATATTATAATACATTATATGAATATAATCTCTCTACAAATATCTTTTTGTTTGTTTGTTTGGTTTTTTTTGGGGTCCAGTCATGGGGCCTGAACTCTGGGCCTGGGCACTGTCCCTCAGCTCTTCAGCTCAAGGCTAGTGCTCTACCACTTGAGCCACAGCGCCACATCCGGCTTTTTTCTTTTTGCTTATGTGGTGCTGAGGAATCGAACCCAGGGCCTCTGGCATGCAAGGAATGCGCTCTACCACTGAGCCACCTTCCCAGCCCTCTACAAATATCTTACTTTCTGGTATTGTGTTTCTGAACAGTGATCTGTCACAGGTAACTGAAACCAAAACCACAGACAAGGAGAAGACTATTGTATTTGGCCCTTCTAATCCCTTTGTTGGTATTATTTGAGCATAAGAAAACCAAATTTCAGTGAAGTCTGATGATTTACACAGGAGTCTCCAGTTAATAAATTGTAGATATATGTTTGAAAATATCCTGAGATATTTTCTTGTCCAGTAAGAAAGTGCTGCTGTTTTTTAAATTAGAAAAGAGCAGAGGTTGATGAGAGGGATGGCGTTTTTTTCTGAACATGCTATCAGCAACTACACTATTTTATGAGAATTAAATCAGTAAAGGGGCATTTACTAATTGATTTGTTCAACATTGATTGGATTCCTGCTTTGTGGAAGAAAGAATTCCACTGGATTCTGGGGAGAATGAGTGAAAATGAAAATAAAGAGCATTTTCTGCACTCAAGGAGTGTTCAGTGTAATAAGGAAGGCACACACAAAAGTGGTTATAGAACAATAGCAAAGCTGATGAGTGCTATGAAAGATGTGTGCAGATAATACAAGGTTTCTGGGGACAGGAAAGAGTTACTGCTGGCTTGTAGGACCAGGGAAGGTTCTAGAAGTGGGAAAATTTAACCTGGCTGTGGGGAGGTAAGAGTCATATGTATAAAGAAGAATATTTAAACCAGAGGAAACTGCAAGACCTGAGACCTAGAGATAGAAATGCTTGCATCCTTTAGGGACCTGTGTACATCTCTTTATCTCATCATTCTGGAAGTGTTTAAAGACAAAGCTGAGAAGGGTTAAGGAGGGCAATTGTCTTGGGCACTGCTATTTTTGTTGTTGTTGTGGGGCCTGAATTCTGGGCCTGGGCACTGTCCCTCAGCACTTCAGCTCAAGGCTAGTGCTCTACCACTTGAGCCACAGTGCCACTTCCTGCTTTTTCTGCTTATGTGGTGCTGAGAAGTTGAACCCAGGGCCTCATCCATTCAAGGCAAGCATTCTACCACTGAGCCACCTTCCCATGCCAGGGCAATGCTATTTTAACTGCACACTTATTTTACTTTGGTTGTATTGTGTTTTGTCTTTCAGGCGATTGCTGGGAATCATTACCAAAAAGGATGTGCTAAAGCATATAGCACAGATGGCAAACCAAGATCCTGATTCCATTCTCTTCAACTAGAATCATGGGTTGTTCTGGATATAAGACAGGAAGGACATTGCACCATGGATATATTTTATTAACTGGGTACCCAAAAACACATTTCCCATATTTGGATGGTGAAGTCCTAATTAGTGTGTTGTCTCTTTCCTAAAAGTTAACCAGTTGCACTACATAATCTCTGGAAATTAATCTTCTCTTTAGGAGAAAATACAATTAGGCTTCTGTGATCTTTGCATTAGGAAGATTTTGTGAAAGAGTATACAAGATTGCTATGGTTTAATCATATTTGTGTTAAGTATTTTTTTTACTTTTAAAAAGAACTGTTAGCCAATATGAAATCCCTGAAAACTATGCAAGAAAAATTCCAGCCGTCCTGACATATAGCCTGCAGGAAATTCATAAGAAAGTCACTTTTGGGGGTGAGAGGAAACCTGTTATTGGTGGAAGATGAAGTGTAAACTTAAGGGGCTTTGCTTTTTCAAACTACAGAAAAGAAAGCCAGAAGGAAAAAAAAAATAGTCATGGTATTTTCTAGACTGTGAAGATTCAATTCCAATGTTATCCTTGTTTCTGTTACAACATTTAGCATTATTAGTTTGTTATGTGTGTATGTGTATGTTCATTTTAATTTCTGATTATAAGAGAATGCTGCTTTGGTTAATCTCCTCTAAATGAATTTAGAGAGGTTGACTTTTATAGCTTGCTTGTTCCTGGTACTCTTTTGAAGTGCACAAAGATAAGTTATAGAGCTTTCTCCTTGTCTGCAAAAAAGGGTAAATTTCCAGATGGTATTTGTTAGCTAGTAGACAAGGACTTTGCCATGCATTTGTTAATCACAAGTAATAATTTTTTCCCCAGCTTCCTTGAAACAATTAGTAAAGTTTTAAGCAAAGTCAATGACTAGGAATTTCACATTTTTGTGAGGTCCTAACTTTCTCTTACCCAGACGCCGCCTCCATGAGTGATGGTGCTTTAGGCTTCTGGAATATGTAAGAACAGTAAAGGGAATCAAGTCTAGACTGCACACTGGTAAACCAGGGAAGATTCAGAGTTGCATCGGCATCCTCATGCATTCCTTTATAAAGACCGCCAGAATTAAATAACTGGGCATTCATGCTCCTCCCAGTGATAAATATGTATAACAGGCCAGTGTTGTCCCCAGGAACATGAATTAAGCTTGGGATACTTTGGAATTATATTGAAGGTATTGGAAGGGGATAGGCCTCTGTGACTCCCTTGATGGTCCTTAGAATTCTAAATAAAATGCAGAGCCATCCTAAGACCCCAGGGGTATATGGACAAGGCCTGGTGTCACCAAAGGTGCTTGTATCCAATTGAAAAGGTGCCTGTCTCAATTTCATACCACATTTATTGCAATTTTAAAAAATCACACTATAGGGACACCAAGTAGAATTAAAGAACCACCACCATCATTCCAACCACTATTTCATTTTTCTATAGTTTTTATCTGTGTGCAATTACTCCCCTTCCATTTGATTCCCCTTCTTTCTCCTCAGCACTGAGTCTTCTCTTCTACGGTTGAATACTATGCCTGGTTAATCATTCCTAATAACAAAAAGGAGCTACTAGGGCTAACTGGCAAGTCAAGGCTCAGAAGTCTTAAACACATGGACTAGAGGACATACAGCACTTTTCTTTGCCTTGTGGCCAAGTTGCTGCTGCCATGCTCCCATTTCTGCTCCCAGATGCCCAGGGCAGTGAGGCTATGTTATCAGGGGTGAGTGTTCAGCCTTGTCCATTTTACAAGTCTGTTCCCAAGACTTCCGGTCATCTTTCCAGGCCAGAAACAGCAATCACTTGGCCCATTCCCCTGGACCCACTCCACCTTCAAACACTCCATTGTACCTCATTTTAAAAGTTATTTATTCCCCTAGTCGAGGACTTCTTAGTGCTAGGTTTTTTCTAAAACCTGAAAATCTTTTATTGCTCAGAGCTGAGTAGCCAAGGCTTATTCTTTTATTTTTAATCTTTAAAATATTAAGGCAACTCCCCTCTCTACTTTTTCCTTTGAAGTATTATCAGTCTAGCATTTTTAATGAGAAAAAATGTTTCAGGGTATATAGTATTGTAGTTGTGGTTTAGTAATTTTATATCCTTTGTCCCTTCCATATATATCGCTGAGATATGAGATAAGACTCTGTTTGACCACTCTATATATTATGTATACATCAAAGTTCTTATCTGTATAGTTTTGGTTCAATACCTATCCTCATTAGCTGTCCTTACCCATGCAAGTTTGCAAAACTGGAAACGTTACATGCCTGGTATCTGATGGCAGAGGAGAGGTTTGCTCTTATTTCATAGTACAGCAGCAACACAGAGGGAGTCCCATTTGCCTTTGTTTCTTCTCGGCTTTGTTCTTGATTTTCGACAGATGAGCCAGTGTTAAGGTGCTACTTCAGAGAATACATTCAAGAAATCAGACAACACTGTGCCAAGGTATACTTTCTAGATGTTAAGCACCAATTGGCCCTCAAGAGAATGACAATATTCCTTTGATACCTCATTCCTGATAGATCACATTCATTAACCTCAGCTGCTCAGGAATCCTTTGTAGCTTGTATGCTAGATATAGTGTCTACTCTATGTCCAATCCTATGATTTGGCTCAAAGGTTGGCTAATTGTGGCTAGAGTACTCTATAAGACTGCTAGCTCAGCACTCTGATACTCAGTGGTTTCCGTCTTGAGGTTAAGGAAAGTATTCTTCCTGCCATTACAATTCTAGCAATGAGACATCCTTTTATTCTTCTTTTTTTGTGCTGGGCCTGAGGCTTGAACTCAGGTCCTAGGCACTGTCCCTGAGCTTTTTCATTCATGAAGTACAGCTCCACTTCGTGCTTTTGAGGTCATTTATTGGAGATAAGAGTCTCATGGAATTTCATGCCTGGCCTGGCTTTGAACTGTGATCCTCAGATCTCAACCTCCTAAGTAGCTAGGATTATAGTATGAACTACTGACACCCTGAAGAGACATTCGTAAGCTCCAAACCAAGCCAATATAGGGAGAGGGTGACAATAGCCTCAAAGACTACATACCGCAGTGGCCAAAGCAAGATAGTGTATTTTGATGTCACAAAAGACAATTGCCTGATACAAGGAAGGGTTTAGGAAACAATGCCAATAAGTACTTTAACAGAGTTTGGATTTTCTAAGGAAAAATATCCAGTGGGCATCCAGCTACCTATGAAGGGAGGGAGGGGCAGCCCTTAGAATTTATTTTTTAAGTCTAACTGCTGCACTTTGTGTCTTCAGCTCCTCAATTGAAGGAATCTAAGGAAGCTGAAACAGTTAATGTGACTTAAATTGGAGGGAAGAAGCAGAGGACTGATGTACAAAATAATATCTATGTGAAAGATAATTTCTATTTTGATGTTTGGTTAGGAGTGAGTTGCAACACACTCTTTCTCTGGCCCCAGTGTCCTGGCTCAGTCCCACTGTAGAGTTAATCCCTAAAACATACTCTGGTAGATTATCTGACATTTGAGATTCTTGAAATTGGACAGCTGGAAGAGCTAATTAAACTGCAAAAGAGTTCGATTGTGTTGGCACTGAATTTGGAATCTAAACCATTTAAAGGAAGAGCAGCATCCTTGTAAAATATCTCTAAATAAGTGAAGTGAACTTAAATGTCCTAAAACCTTCTTTTCTTGGAACTTCTTTTGGATTCTCTTTGGGGAGGAAATCAAAACTGTTGAGAAGGGCCCTGGTAAGAAAATATACGAATGGTGTCAGGTGGTATGGTATGAGGAAAGCCATCCTGTGCTCCATACCATGCATCCTCACATTGGGATGTATAGAAATTGCTTGATTCTGGGACTTGAAGGAAGAAATAGGTGAAGTAATCTGCCAAGGCCAGGATTGCCAAACAAACTAGAGGCTCAAAGTGATGTTTGGCTCAAGGGTAGTTTAGTTTTATGGAGTGAGCGGATTTAAGACATTAGCTTATGAAGGAATATACCAACTAAATGGATCTCTGTCAGCCTTCCTAGTATGTCCATTATATGTTGAAAAGAGAAAGGTGAGAGCTCCTCAAGGAGCATTCAGGAGCCATGTAAATTTGAAGCTTAGGTTCAGAGGACAGGGTGCTTGCTGGGCTTTTCTTTGATTGTAGTCTTTTGCTCCAAGGTGAGAAGTGGGAAAAGTGTGTATTAGCAACTATTAATTTACTCCCTCTACATTTGCTGGCCACATTCTCATTTCTAAATATCTGGATATGGATAAAGTTTTGAAGAGATACCAGACACAAAAATGGTGTTTTGTTTTGTTTTTCTTCCCCCATGATGATAGTCTGATTTTACCAAAATCCCCAAAGAAAGAAAATGTAATGTGTACAGCTTGATTTCTTGGATGTGGCCTATCAAATCATCAACCCAGCCCATCTTTGCAGTCATAAATTTCTACCTCTTAAGTTCCTACCAAAGGGTCTTCAGCCTCTATGTGCACACTCATCAAATGAATGCCTTGCCTAAAGTTTAGTCCATTGGGAAGAAACAGCATTTGGTGATTTTTAAAATGAGGTAAAAATAAAATAACAGTTTCTGCCTCTCCTCTTATCCCCTCTCAAACTGTCTCACCCCCTGCCCCTACCCCCACAAACCATGTCCCAGATTCCAGTATCTCTTCGTTTTTGTTTGAATGTGGGCCTTGATGGGGAGGGAGAGGATGAGTCTAACAACAAGGAACAGAAACCTCTCAACGTTGTGGGAGCACCAGTGATTTGCTAGTTCTGCTGTAGATGCCAAAGGCTGCTACCTTACTTGTTGGGAGTGTTAAGGGGTTTAGCATAAGACAAATCTATAAAGTGTTTGTTGATAAAGCTTGTTATGAGCTACTAGTCCAAATGTGTTGGGATTCAGAGGCAGTCTAGGATTTAATTAGGGAAATGCCCATCTGGCAGAATGGGAATGAAGATGTTGCCTGCAGTGATTTTTGGAGGTGGAGGGGGATGCTCAGCCTCACTATCATATCAAGGGTACCTCAGAGTATACAATCATTTAAGAGTGCACCTCCCTTCTGTCATTTCACCTTGTTCTTCATCCTCCTTCCCCATTATCCTGCCTTTTTAGTACTCAGCTTTATATATATACATATATATGTATATATATATACACACACACACAAGTATTTACTTTTTTATTATATATTTGGTCCTTTGGGACTGTGTAATGATTAAAATTTTATTCCATTCAAGATAACAATGATTTGTGTAATGACATATTTTTTCATTCTCTTAAACTGTCTTTTGACGCTATGCTGCTAACCAGGTACAGGCCAGAAAGGAGTTGGGCCTGACAGCATCTGGATCATGTCATCTAAGAGTGACAGTGATGTCATGATGGTGACTCTTCTTCATTTGACCAAGGCCAACCTCCTGCTCTTACCTCTGCCCCTTCATTTCTGGCTATGGGAAATATACCAGCTGTTAGGTGAGCCATTGAAAACGGGAGGATCAGAGGAGCCAGGTTTCATCCTATGGGCACTATGAGAATTTCTCCATAGTAAGCTCATTTATCGGGCTGGCTCCAATGGAAGTAGCCAAAGAAAACCTGTCTGACTGGACATTTTAATTCCCAAGAGTTGGTCCGAGTTCAGCGGAAGCTAATATATACACATCAGCAGTAGTGAGGCATCTAGAAACTAGCTTCAACCAAAGCTAACAGAGCCTGAGTTTCCACAGGAAACTTGGTGCTGAGCTGTTTAGAGCAGTTATTATCTGAGTGTTGCCAACCCTTCAGCCATGCTTTCGTAGCTTTATCCTCACCTGTTCGTAGACACAGCTTGAATCAAAGCTGTGGCTTACTGCTCACATTGTTTTTGCTCCCTGGTCATGCATAGTAACATAGTGCAAAAACAAAGACATGGACTGGGGAGCTAGGAGACCTGGTTTCTATTCCCTATGCTTGTACTAACTAGCCTCAAGATCTTAACCGCTCTGTGCCTCAGTGTTCCCATCTGCAAAATGGGGATAGTGTTAATTGCCCTACCTACCTCACAGGGTTGTTGTGAGGATAAACTGAGACAATGAATGGAAAAGTACTTTGCCAAGTAAGTGCTATGCAAATTGTAAGAAATGGAAACAATCACGTTAAAGGCAATGGAATGGACATTGGCAGAAGGGTTAATGGGATTGTCCAGCCCTTTCTTTGTGTGGCTTAAACCCAGGTCGCCATTGCTTTATACATTTTCACTTAGCACAGATTTGTAATTATGCATGTAATAAAGCACAGCCTTATCCAACCTGGTGTCTAGTGTCTGTTTGAAGAACTTAAACTTAATGGTTGCTGATTTGTGATCATGAAACAAAACATGAGGGCAGAGGGAGGGCTTAGAGGACAGTAGTGTAAAAACTCCTATTGGTAGCTTGCTTCTTAACAAGAAAAGTACCTAAGTACTAAGTGGTTTCGCACTTAGATGTCCAGCAGATTTTCTTCTTCCTTCCCTCTCTCTTTTCTTTTTCTGGTGCCAGTTCTGGGGATTGTACTCAGGGCCTTGACACTGTACCTGAGCTTTTTTGCTCAAGGATAGTGCGTGCTCTACCACTTGGGCCACAGCTCTACTTGCACCTTTTTTGGTAATTTATTGGAGATAGGAGTCCACAGACTCTTCTGCCCAGAATGGCTTGGAACTGTGATCCTCAGATCTCAGCCTCTTAAGTAGCTAGGATTACATGCATAAGCCACCAGCACCCAATGGGTTTTTTTTTTTTTTTTTTTAAGATGTAGGGGATGGAATTCAGGGCCTTGCAACATAGTAGGTAAATGCCTTTCCCACCAAGTCACACTTCCAGCTTCAGTAGTGCATTTCATTATAAGGTTAGTGAGGGGTAGCTTGTGTTTTTATATATTTTTCTTTTGTGCCAATACTGGGGCTTGAACTCAGAGCATTGAGCTTTTTTTTTTTTTTTTGCTAGTCCTTGGGCTTGAACTCAGAGCCTGGGCACTGTCCCTGAGCTTCTTTTGCTTAAGGCTAGCACTCTATCACTTGAGCCATAGCACCACTTCTGGCTTTTTCTGTGTATGTGGTTCTGAGGAATTAAACCCAGAGCTTCATGTATGCAAGGCAAGCACTCTACTAGTAAGCCACATTCCCAGCCCTGCATTGTGCTTTTGCTTGGCTTTTTTGTTCAAGGCTTCTACTTCCTGCTTTTTGCTGGTTAATTGGAGATTAGAGCTTCTCTAGTGTGTCTTCCTGGACTGGTTTTGAACTTGGATCTTCATATCTTAGCCTCCTGAGTTGCTAGGATTGCAGACATGAGCTATCAGCACCCTGTCCACAGCTTGTGTTTTCTGAAACATTCCAAATCCCTGGCTACCTCATCCATTATGGCTATTACATGGTCCTGACTCATGCATTGGTGATCCTGATGGCCTGAACACTAGCTGGGAACTGCATTTTTTCTATTTTTGAGCTTTAAATGGTGTTAGATAATGAGCTTTTTAAAAAAATTGTTACATAGTTGTACAAAGGAGTTTCAAATCAACATGTCAACTTATGAATACAATGCATCTTTATCAGTGTCACCAATAATGGGCTATGACAGGCTTCTTACAGTTCCTTCTGATGAAGGGTAGGATGGATGATTAAAATTTTCCTCCATTAATAACAGACGTCTTAGTATCCTCTTTATGGTGTGTTGAGAATTCAAAAGGTCTTATGTGGGAAACTCTGTTAAGTGACCACACAAATGAAATAGAGGTGAAGCTTGGATAAGTGGTTAAATATCTAAAAGCTCCTTTACATACCTTTCTGGAACCTAGAAAACCCAGGCTGGCTTTAAACTACAATCTACAGATTTCAGTCTTCTGAGTAGCTAGAATTATAGGCATGAGATACTGGAGCTCATCCAAAGTTTCAGTTTTAAGAGTTTTTCTAGTTGACATTTGATCACAATCTGCACTGGTGTTGATTTGGTATTTTGCTGCTAACAAGCACTTCAATGCTTGTGGCCTACTTGGTATCACTTCCAGAAAGACATGTCTGTGTGAAGATAACTGCCTCAGTGGGGTACAGGTGGCTCATGCCTATAATCATAATCATAGCTACTTAGGAGGATGAGATCTGAGGATCACAATTCGAAGCCAGGCAGGAAAGTCTATGAGACTTTTTTTTTGTTGGTTGTGGGGCTTGAAATTTGGGCCTGGGTGCTGTAGCACTCTACCACTTGAGCCACAGTGCCACTTCCAGTTTTCTGGTGGTTAATTGGAGATAAGAGTCTCACAGACTTTCTTGCCTGGGCTGGCTTCGAACCGTGATCCTCAGATCTCAGCCTCCTGAGTAGCTAGGATTACACACATGAGCCACTGGCACCCAGCAAGACTCTTATATTTAGTTAACCAACAGAAAACTGGGAAGTGGCACTGTGGCTCAAAGTAATAGAGCGCTATCCTTGAGCACCAAAGCTCAAGATCAGTGCTCAGGCCCTGAATTCAAGCCCTATGACTGACAAAAAGTAACTGCCTCATAAGCCTGAAGTCCTAATGTAAAAATCTCAGTTCTTTTTGTTATTTATCAGTTTACTGTCGTCCTTTTCATACTGTCACCATACCCTCCTCTAATCTAAATACTTGTTGATAAAACAATGCATCTGTTTTCAGCTGTCAACAGCTTGTTATGACTGAATCTAGTTGCTGTAGGGCTGAGATCAAAGTTGTTTGGATGGAGTCTGAGGTACAACCTGATCCATCATCTGGTACAGGAGTTCCCAGAGAAAAGCCTGGAAATGACCACCAGATGTCAGTGCAGTCATTAAAGTACTGGTTAAGCTAAATTTTGGACAGAAGGAAGCTATATCTGAGAGGTAAGTAGGTATGAATTCAAAATTCTATCACATGGTAGATCTTAGACATTCTCTTTTAATGTATATAATAAAATGTATGCTTATTTATTTATTTATTTTTGGTGCTGGTATTGGGACTTAAACTCAGGGCCAGGGTGCTTTGATTCATTCAAGGCTGGTGTTCCACCACTTGGACCACAGCTCTACTCTTAGCTTTTTGCTGGCTAGTTGGAGATAAGAGTCTCCCAAACTTTTCTCCTTAGGCTGGCTTCTAATTGCAATCCTCAAATCCCAGCCTCTTGAGTAATTAGAACACTGTGGCATGAGCCACAGGCTCCTGGCATACTGTATGCTTATTATTAAAAATAATTTCTTTGTTTCAATTGTGAGACTTGAACTCAGGGCCTGGGCGCTGTCCCTGAGCCTCAAGGCTAGTGCTCTACCACTTGAGCCACAGCACCATTTCTAGTTTTTCAGTGGTAATTGGAGATTAGAGTCTCATGGAGACTTTTCTGCCTGGGCTGATTTCAAACCATGATCCTCAGATCTCAGCCTCCTGAGTAGGTAGGATTACAGACATGAGAAACCAGCATCTGGGTTAAAAATACTTTTTAAAAAAAATGTATTGTCATTATAAAGATGATGTATCAGGGGTTATAGTCACATAAGTCAGATAAACAGTACATTTATTTTCGGGCAATATCGCCTCTTCTCTCGCTATTAAGAGTTTAAAGTCAGTCGTGAAGGTAGTTGGAGAACTGGGGCAAGAGGATCACAAGTTTAAGGCTACAAAGGGAGCTCAGCCTGGGCTACATAGTGAGACCCTGTCTCAGAAAACAAAAAGCAAAACAAAACAAAATCCATCACATGACAGCTTAACTGATCTGCTGTTTGAGATTTGTTTCTTTTTCAATGCAGTGTCCCAGGTGAAAACCATGGAGAAATGTCATTAGGATAGCTGTACCATTTGTTGTATGACCAAGACACTTTTAACAATGGGAGAGCATTATTACTTGTCTAGGGACCACAGACATAGAGACAGATTCTCCCAAGGAAACCAAGAGGTGTGGTCAATATTCCTGTGGCTTCTACAGCTACTGACCTTTGCACTGTAGCTCCAGATTTCCCTCATTTGTTTCCTAGAATCTCTGACTGGTCCTTTAAGCTCCCTTGAGCCTTTTCTGGACTTGCTCCTCCCTTGTGATAAATATTCCCAATGGCTATTGGGATGTATGATAAAACAAATGCTTGAAGATTGAACTTGCCCTCAAAAAAAAAAAAAAAAAAGATTGGGGGGGGGGGAGTACGCCAGTCCTGGGACTTGTTCTCAAGGCCTGGGCACTGTCTTGGAGCTTTATCACTCAAAGCTAGCACTCTACTACTTGAGTCACAGCTTCACTTCTGGCTTTTTGGTGGTTAGTTAGAGATAAAAGTCTCAGGGACTTTCTTGCCTGGGCTGACTTCAGACAATGATCCTCAGATCTCAGTAGAAGCTGAGTAGCTGTAATAACAGCATAAGCTACTGGGACCTGGCTAAAAAGTAAAAATCTTATTCACATAAAAATAGAGTTCTTTAGGAGAGAGCAAAAAAATCTCATGTTGCCTGCCACTGGTGGCTCATGCCTGTAATCCCAGCAACTCAGGAGGCAAAATCTGAGGATCATGGTTCAAAGCCAGCCTGGGTAGGTAATTATTATTTCCCATTAACCAGATAAAAGCCAGATGTTGCCCTGTAGCTCAAATAGTAGATCACAAACCTTGAGCACAAAAGCTCAGGGACAGTGCCCAGGCCCTGAATTCAAGCTTCAGGAACCAGCATACACACACACACACACACACACACACACACACACACACACACACACACACACACACACACACACACACACACACACACACACACACACACACACACACACACACACACACACACACACACACACACGCGCCTCCCCCCCACATGGTTTGCTAACAATACTGTAAAGGCTTGTCATTGACATTACTAGTGCTTTAACAGTATTTAACATTGTTCTATCATTTCTTAATTCCTGCCCCAGGGTAAGGTTGGTCTCTCTAATCTGTCTCAGCTATTCATTACTTACCTACCAGATCTGGAGTCAGAAAGCTGAAGATAAAACCAAAAATAGAAAGAAACAAAGGATATGGAGCCAGAGCCCCTGGACTCAGGCTTACTAAGCTTTTTAATCATAGAAAACTTAGAATCTTCAAAATTGACCTTGAAGGAAGACTGTCTTCTTCAAGAAGCATTTTTGTTTAAGTTTTTTGGTTACCTCATGACCTAGAGGGTGGATCATCACCCACTTTTTAAAAATATTCTGGCCTCAGTTGGTTTCTGTAGTCCATCTGAAATTGTCACTGGATGCAGGCAAGAGCTTATGACGTTTTCCTCTATAAGTAGGGACTCTTCACTTAGGGTCCTTGTCTTTGATGGCAGAAAAAG